TTTCCTCAGGCTCAGGGGTGACTGTGGTATCTACAACAGAGAGTGTCAAGGGTCTCCCGAGTGGTGCAGTGGTCTAAGGCGCTGCATCGCAGTGCTAGCTGTGCCACTAGAGATCCTGGTTCGAATCCAGGCTCTGCTGTAGCCGGCCGCGACCGGGAGACCCATGGGGCGGCGCACAATTGGCCCAGGGTAGGGGAGGGAATGGCCGGCAGGGGATGTTGGTAGAGCATGGCGTTTGCAATGCCAGGGTTGTGGGTTCGATTCCCACGGGGGGGGCCAGTATGAAAAAATAAAAAAATATAATGTATGCACTCACTAACTGTAAGTCGCTCTGGATAAGAGCATCTGCTAAATGACTAAAATGTAAATTGATCAAGACGAATGTTATGTTTTTTGGGGGGGGGGTTATGAAGTTGTGTGTGAATCTTTTCATGAGGGTTCTCTTCCTGTATCCTGTCAACGTGCTGTGCTTTCATTGTTGCCACAAAAGGGGGATTTGGCTCTTTTACAAACTGTCAACCTGTTGCACTGCTGTGTGCAGAATATACAAGTATATCTAAGTGTATCTCAAACAGGTTGAAATAATATTTGGGGCTGTTGGTCCATAAGAACCAGTCTTACTGTGAGATGTTTTAGACATTTGTAAAGGGTCTGATGTGAATTTGGGTTTGCTTTCTTTGGATCAGGAGAAGGCTTTTGTCTGTTTGGACCACCAGTACCTGTTCAAAACAATGAAAGCCTTTGGGTTTGGGGATGTTTTTTTTGTCTTGAATGAGCTTACTGTATGCTGGGGCCTCGTGTATGGTGGGGGTGGTTTGAGCTGCCCCATCCCCGTCCAAAGGGGTACCAGGCAGGGATGCCCAATATCAGGACAGTTATATTGTCTGGCAATTGAACCAATGCTTAGTTTTTTAAGAGCGAAGCTTACTGGTTTCTCTGTGCCAGGGGTTATGAAGGGTCCCACGATAGCACTGTCTGCGTATGCAGATGACGTGACAGTTTTTATTACAGGGGGTGAGGATGTTAAGGTTCTCTCAGACGCCTTAAAGGTGTATGAGGGGGCCTCCTCAGCTAGAGTTAATTGGGAAAAGAGTGAATCGCTGTGGGCAGGTCAGCTTCAGACAGGGTCCGCTCCACGGTTACCAGGGGGGCTTCAGTGGGGCAGAGATGGGATGAAGACTTTGGGGGTTTTTCTAGGCTCCGATGTCTTTCAGAAAAAGAACTGGGAGGGTGTAGTGGAGAAGGTGTTTGCCAGATTGTCTAGGTGGAAATGGGTGCTACCCCAGCTGTCTTATAGGGGAAGGGTGCTGGGAGCCAATAACCCAGCTGCCTCTACCCTGTGGCACAGACTAATGATTTTACAGCCACCAAAGGGTCTGATACAAGAGCTTCAGAGGACCCTTGTCTATTTCTTCTGGTCTGGACAACATTGGATTAAAGTTGCAGCCCTGTACCTGCCACTGCACGAGGGTGTCAAGGCCTGGTGGACATTTCTTCCAGGATCATGGCTTTCCGGCTTCAAGCAGCCCAGAGACTGTTGTACAGTGACGGTTCTAGCTGGGTTGACACAGCCAACACGTTGATGAGGAGAGCGGGCTGTTTGGGCTTAGACAAGCACCTTTTCCTCTTAAAGCTAGATGGGCGTGGTTTGTCTGGCCTGACTCCATTCTATGAGTCTGTTATGCGGCTTGGAGAGTTTGTCATGTCCTGTAAGACCAGCATGCCACCAGGGATGTGGCTTTTTGAAGAGCCTCTTTTTTATAACACTACCATCCAGTCCCGTGCTATGGGTTCAGCCAGCCTACGTTCATGCCTGTTAGGAGTGGGGTGTACCAAGCTGGGTCATCTGATGCGGAGCAGGAGCAGATCGTTGGAGGAGCTGGGAGACAGAGCGGGGAGCAGATCATCTCGACCTACTCAGGAAGGTCGTAGCTGAGGTCTGTGACTCCTTGCCAGTACTTCATCGGCAGTATGTGACTGACACTTCCAATTCTGATCGGTGGACGGAGGGTCTGGATTATGTGTCAAATCGACGAGGTGGGCGGGTGTGTTTGGTCCAGGTGCCTCCCCCAAAAGGCTGTTGGCGGTCTTTATATAAACTGCCTATTGATAAGAGGACAGCTGACCTCCAATGGAGGATAATACATGGAGCCACCAACATGCATCTGGTACACCTGGATCCTACTGTTGGGGAGGGGTCCATTCTGTGCTGAGTCTGAAACTCTGGCACATCTGTTCTTACAGCGTCCCAGGTTGGTGGGGATGATTGACCTGATCACTAGTTGGTTCTCAGCTCTGGGAGAGGTTTTCTCTTCCCACCTGTTTATATTTGGGCCAAAGTACAGGTTCAGTCGAAGGGGTGTAGTTCTCTTGCTTAACTTTGTGTCAGAGGCAGCTAAATTAACAATTTGGAAGACGTGAAAGAACAGTGTTCGGGGACAGGGGTCTGTGGATGTGGTGGGAATGCTGGAGGGGATGTTGGCAGCGAGACAGAGGGTTGAGTTTGCCTATTACAAAATGGTTAACAACATTGGGCCGTTTATGAGTATATGGGGTATTCAGAGGCTGCTGTGTTTAGTTACTGAGGAGGAAGATTTGGTGTTGTGTTTTTAATTCATGTGTAATCATGGTTTTGTTTGTTTGAGTGTTTATTGTACTGTGGGTTCCCAGACCCAATAAAGGTTCTCTCTCTCTCTCTCTCTCTGTCTCTCTCTCTCTCTCTCTCTCTCTCTCTCTCTCTATCTGTCTATCTCTTCTGTCTCTCATCTCTCTCTCCATCTCTCTCTCTCTCTCCCTCTCTCTCTCCCTCTCTCTCTCTCTCTCTCTCTTCTCTCCTCTCTCTCTCTCCTCCTCTTTATCTCCCTCTCTGATACATCTCTCTCTCTATTCTCCCTATTCCTACTTTCAATCTGTTTTTTGGGACTTTCTCTATATAAATACTAGTTTTTTGTAGTACTGTTTATTTATAGCTGTTTAAACTCTTCCATTTATACTACTACTTTATTTAAATTCTACTTCTTTATATACTTTTATTTATACTGTTTTTATGTCCATTTATAAATACTAGTTTATTTATAGTACTAGTTTATTTATAGTTCATTTATAGTACTACTTCATTTATAGTACTAGTTTGTTTGTAGTACTAGTTTTTTTAGTCATTTATGTACTATTTTCACTAGTTTATAGCTAGTTTTTTAAGTACTAGTTTATATATAGATTTATTTAGTACTAGTTTATTTGTAGTACTAGTTTATTTATAGAACTAGTTAATTTATATTACTTCTTCATTTATACTACTACTTTATTTAAAATTGCTACTTCTTTTATAGTACTAGTTTATTTATAGTACTAGTTTATTTATAGTACAAGTTTATGTATAGTACTATTATTTTAGTACTGTTTATAGTTTCATTTATTTAGTACTAGTTTTTTATAGACTACGTTTTTATAGTACTAGTTTATTTATAGTACTAGTTTATGTATAGTACTAGTTTATGTATAGCACTAGTTTATAGTACTAGTTTATTTATAGTACTAGTTATTCATAGTACTACTTCATTTATAGTACTAGTTTATTTGTAGTACTAGTTTATTTTAGTACAAATTTAATGTATATTTCTTTTATTTATATACTACTTTATTTAAATTCTACTTTAAATTTATAGTACGTTTATTTAGTACTATTTATTTATAGTACTATTATTTATAGTACTTTTTATAGTTTCTAGTTTATTTTGTCTTTATTATTAACTAGGATTTAATGATACACTGTTTTTCGTCCCCCCCATTTTTTTTTCCCTACTGTTCTTCCTAATGTCCCCCCCTTCCTTTTTAAATGTTTTTTGTTACTGTTTTTTTTCCACTGTTTTTTTTACTTTTCCTTTTACTCTACTTTTTAAAATTTCACTTATTATGTACCATTATATGACTGTTTTTATAGTACTATTTATTTATAGTTACTACCTATTTAGTACTAGTTTATAGTACTAGTTTATTTCTGTCTTTATTTAACCCCCTAGTATGACTCATAATGATGACTCTGTGGTTTTTCTGCCTCCTCCCTCCACTGTTCCTCTCCTCCTCCTCCTCCCTCCACTGTTCCTCTCCTCCTCCTCCTCCCTCCACTGTTCCTCTCCTCCTCCTCCTCCCTCCACTGTTCCTCTCCTCCTCCTCCCTCCACTGTTCCTCTCCTCCTCCTCCCTCCACTGTTCCTCACCACCTGCAGCTTTTCCTCTCCTCTACCTCAGTATGACTCCAGGTGATGATTGGTTACTCTCTGTTGTTACCACGGTTACTCTGTTGTTATCACAGTTTCTGTTACCACAGTTACCATGGTTATTGTTGCCATGGTTTCTCGCTGTGCTTGTTTCATATGTAATCTACCTCACCTGAATCTACCTCACCACTTAGAAAAAAGACACATCGAAAGATAGGAATGCAATTATTACAAGTAGCCCAAAATAGATTATTGTCTAGATTTGTACATGTTAGTCTTAAGCTGACATCAGTCCTCATTCATTTCATATTGATACCATTTGTATTGGCTGAGTTGCCGCAGGCATCCTCAACACTATCAGCCATAACCTAACAACCATGTTGTTGTAGTAAATGGACTAACTAGCGGAGTGAATAAAGATGTACTATCAGCCATAATCTAACATCCACCAATGTGTTGTTGTAGTAAATGGACTAACTAGCGGAGTGAATAAAGATGTACTATCAGCCATAACCTAACATCCACCAATGTGTTGTTGTAGTAAATGGACTAACTAGCAGGGTGGTAAAACTCTAAAACACCATCTTCTCTCTCTTTCTCTCTCACCCTCTTCTGTGTGTTTGTGAGTTTGTTGGTTTTGATTAGCACAGCATGGGAAGTGTCTTCACTGATCTCTGAGGCTGAAACCTCTGTATGTTCTCCTACTGACCAGTCAGTGTCCTTCTCCCTCCCTCCCTCCCTCCCTCCCTCCCTCCCTCCCTCCCTCCCTCCCTCCCTCCTATAGGTTCCTGGTTAGTTTCATGGTGGACGCGCGCGGCGGCTCCATGCGGGGAAGTCGTCATAACGGGATGCGCATTATCATCCCGCCCAGGAAGTGCACGGCTCCGACACGCATCACCTGCCGCCTGGTGAAGAGGCACAAGCTGGCCACTCCCCCACCGATGGTGGATGGAGAGGGATTGGCCAGCAGGCTGGTGGAGGTGGGGCCTGCTGGAGCTCAGTTCCTGGGGTAGGCCTTTACATTGTTTATTTACCTGTTTGTTAGTTTTGAAGCTTCTTTCCTCATCTCCATGGAAACCATCTGTTCTTGTAGTGTTTGGTGTTGAGTTGTTTAGTGTGGTAGTGGTGTTTCAGTGTTTAGATAGAGGAGCTTGCCCACCTTTGTTCCAATGCCAACACAGACCCCCAGTAGACCCCAGCACCACTAAAGGATTGGAGGTCAGTCTGCTACTTTATCACATAGCATCCTGCAGATAGCACTACTCTCCATAGTTGAACACTTCTACCATATGTTGGATTGTCATAGAAAGAGACTGTTTAAAGACCAAACTAAAGAGTGCAGCCTCCAAACAGTGATGCTGATGCTGTCCTAGAGGCAGCATCACAGAACAAGCATCCACACAGTGATGCTGATGATGTCCTAGAGGCAGCATCACAGAACAAGCCTCCACACAGTGATGCTAATGATGTCCTAGAGGCAGCATCACAGAACAAGCCTCCAAACAGTGATGCTAATGATGTCCTAGAGACAGCATCACAGAACACGCCTCCACACAGTGATGCTAATGATGTCCTAGAGGCAGCATCACAGAACAAGCATCCACACAGTGATGCTGATGCTGTCCTAGAGGCAGCATCACAGAACAAGCCTCCACACAGTGATGCTAATGATGTCAGAGGCAGCATCACAGAACAAGCCTCCACACAGTGATGCTAATGATGTCCTAGAGGCAGCATCACAGAACAAGCATCCACACAGTGATGCTGATGCTGTCCTAGAGGCAGCATCACAGAACAAGCCTCCACACAGTGATGCTAATGATGTCCTAGAGGCAGCATCACAGAACAAGCATCCACACAGTGATGCTGATGCTGTCCTAGAGGCAGCATCACAGAACAAGCCTCCACACAGTGATGCTAATGATGTCAGAGGCAGCATCACAGAACAAGCCTCCACACAGTGATGCTAATGATGTCCTAGAGGCAGCATCACAGAACAAGCATCCACACAGTGATGCTGATGCTGTCCTAGAGGCAGCATCACAGAACAAGCCTCCACACAGTGATGCTAATGATGTCAGAGGCAGCATCACAGAACAAGCCTCCACACAGTGATGCTAATGATGTCAGAGGCAGAATCACAGAACAAGCCTCCACACAGTGATGCTAATGATGTCTTAGAGGCAGCATCACGGAACAAGCCTCCACACAGTGATGCTAATGATGTCTTAGAGGCAGCATCACAGAACAAGCCTCCACACAGTGATGCTAATGATGTCCTAGAGACAGCATCACAGAACACGCCTCCACACAGTGATGCTAATGATGTCCTAGAGGCAGCATCACAGAACAAGCATCCACACAGTGATGCTAATGATGTCCTAGAGACAGCATCACAGAACAAGCCTCCACACAGTGATGCTAATGATGTCAGAGACAGCATCACAGAACAAGCCTCCACACAGTGATGCTAATGATGTCCTAGAGACAGCATCACAGAACAAGCCTCCACACAGTGATGCTAATGATGTCCTAGAGGCAGCATCACAGAACAAGCCTCCACACAGTGATGCTAATGATGTCTTAGAGGCAGCATCACAGAACAAGCCTCCACACAGTGATGCTAATGCTGTCAGAGACAGCATCACAGAACACGCCTCCACACAGTGATGCTAATGCTGTCCTAGAGACAGCATCACAGAACAAGCCTCCACACAGTGATGCTAATGATGTCTTAGAGGCAGCATCACAGAACAAGCCTCCACACAGTGATGCTAATGATGTCCTAGAGGCAACATCACAGAACAAGCCTCCACACAGTGATGCTAATGATGTCCTAGAGACAGCATCACAGAACAAGCCTCCACACAGTGATGCTAATGATGTCCTAGAGGCAGCATCACAGAACAAGCCTCCACACAGTGATGCTAATGATGTCTTAGAGGCAGCATCACAGAACAAGCCTCCACACAGTGATGCTAATGCTGTCCTAGAGACAGCATCACAGAACACGCCTCCACACAGTGATGCTAATGATTTTAGAGGCAGCATCCCAGAACACTTTAGGTGTGGTCAGATGGCCATTTGTTCATGTGCTGTTCTGTAGGAATGCCAGTTTGTTGCTCATATCATCTTCTGTGTCTCTTAATGCTGCTTGGATGTGACTCAGTAAACTGCACCTTCCTAGAAAGCTCCCATGTCTAGACGATGGAGAGATGTTGGTTAGCCGAGTCCTGCAGCTGGGGCCACCAGGAACTAAGTTTATTGGGTAGGAGGACCATCCCATAGAGATACATCAGGCTGTCCATGCTAGATAATATTAGGACCATCCCATAGAGAGACATCAGGCTGTCCATGCTAGATAATATTAGGACCATCCCATAGAGAGACATCAGGCTGTCCATGCTAGATAATATTAGGACCATCCCATAGAGAGACATCAGGCTGTCCATGCTAGATAATATTAGGACCATCCCATAGAGAGACATCAGGCTGTCCATGCTAGATAATATTAGGACCATCCCATAGAGAGACATCAGGCTGTCCATGCTAGATAATATTAGGACCATCCCATAGAGAGACATCAGGCTGTCCATGCTAGATAATATTAGGACCATCCCATAGAGAGACATCAGGCTGTCCATGCTAGATAATATTAGGACCATCCCATAGAGAGACATCAGGCTGTCCATGCTAGATAATATTAGGACCATCCCATAGAGAGACATCAGGCTGTCCATGCTAGATAATATTAGGACCATCCCATAGAGAGACATCAGGCTGTCCATGCTAGATAATATTAGGACCATCCCATAGAGAGACATCAGGCTGTCCATGCTAGATAATATTAGGACCATCCCATAGAGAGACATCAGGCTGTCCATGCTAGATAATATTAGGACCATCCCATAGAGAGACATCAGGCTGTCCATGCTAGATAATATTAGGACCATCCCATAGAGAGACATCAGGCTGTCCATGCTAGATAATATTAGGACCATCCCATAGAGAGACATCAGGCTGTCCATGCTAGATAATATTAGGACCATCCCATAGAGAGACATCAGGCTGTCCATGCTAGATAATATTAGGACCATCCCATAGAGAGACATCAGGCTGTCCATGCTAGATAATATTAGGACCATCCCATAGAGAGACATCAGGCTGTCCATGCTAGATAATATTAGGACCATCCCATAGAGAGACATCAGGCTGTCCATGCTAGATAATATTAGGACCATCCCATAGAGAGACATCAGGTGTCCATGATAGAATATTAGGACCATCCCATAGAGCCTGTCCATGCTAGATAATATTAGGACCATCCCATAGAGAGACATCAGGCTGTCCATGCTAGATAATATTAGGACCATCCCATAGAGAGACATCAGGCTGTCCATGCTAGATAATATTAGGACCATCCCATAGAGAGACATCAGGCTGTCCATGCTAGATAATATTAGGACCATCCCATAGAGAGACATCAGGCTGTCCATGCTAGATAATATTAGGACCATCCCATAGAGAGACATCAGGCTGTCCATGCTAGATAATATTAGGACCATCCCATAGAGAGACATCAGGCTGTCCATGCTAGATAATATTAGGACCATCCCATAGAGAGACATCAGGCTGTCCATGCTAGATAATATTAGGACCATCCCATAGAGAGACATCAGGCTGTCCATGCTAGATAATATTAGGACCATCCCATAGAGAGACATCAGGCTGTCCATACTAGATAATATTAGGACCATCCCATAGAGAGACATCAGGCTGTCCATGCTAGATAATATTAGGACCATCCCATGGAGCGACATCAGGCTGTCCATGCTAGATAATATTAGGACCATCCCATAGAGAGACATCAGGCTGTCCATGCTAGATAATATTAGGACCATCCCATAGAGAGACATCAGGCTGTCCATGCTAGATAATATTAGGACCATCCCATGGAGCGACATCAGGCTGTCCATGCTAGATAATATTAGGACCATCTCCATCACCACCATGTGATTCTGAGTTCTAACCACCTCCATTCGTATCTGTGTTAAATCTTTCAGTGGACGTTGTGTGTTGGCTGTTGGCTGTTGGCTGTTGGCTGGTGTAAGCTTGGGCTCTTCCCCTCCTGTCTGTTTCAGCTCTTCCTGCTTGTTGGGCCTGAGACTCAGTGCTACACCAGTATCCTGCTATCATGACTGTTGATCCTTTCCCAAGTTTGGTTACTAGCCTGAAACCTCCCTTAACAATATGAGCTAACTTTGATCTGAATAATGGAGAAGGCTGGGTATCTATGGCCTCAGTCTCTACTAAGTTTCTACTCCCCTCACTAGGTATAGTATCTCCTGTCACTTTAATGTCCAGAAGAGGAGGGACTCACATCTTATTACACGTTTTCAATTTGCTAGATAAAATACGAAATTAGGCTACATATCAATTCTTCCTCTTGAGTTATGTTTAGTGTATAATTGTCCTGTGTGGCATGTCATAGTGCATGCTTCCATCATACCTACATCCCTGGTTGTCTTCCTGTTCTCAGACTGGGCCTCTCTGCCTTCCCCCTCCATCCCTGGTTGTCTTCCTGTTCTCAGACTGGGCCTCTCTGCCTTCCCCCTCCATCCCTGGTTGTCTTCCTGTTCTCAGACTGGGCCTCTCTGCCTTCCCCCTCCATCCCTGGTTGTCTTCCTGTTCTCAGACTGGGCCTCTCTGCCTTCCCCCTCCATCCCTGGTTGTCTTCCTGTTCTCAGACTGGGCCTCTCTGCCTTCCCCCTCCATCCCTGGTTGTCTTCCTGTTCTCAGACTGGGCCTCTCTGCCTTCCCCCTCCATCCCTGGTTGTCTTCCTGTTCTCAGACTGGGCCTCTCTGCCTTCCCCCTCCATCCCTGGTTGTCTTCCTGTTCTCAGACTGGGCCTCTCTGCCTTCCCCCTCCATCCCTGGTTGTCTTCCTGTTCTCAGACTGGGCCTCTCTGCCTTCCCCCTCCATCCCTGGTTGTCTTCCTGTTCTCAGACTGGGCCTCTCTGCCTTCCCCCTCCATCCCTGGTTGTCTTCCTGTTCTCAGACTGGGCCTCTCTGCCTTCCCCCTCCACATATTGCAGCTTCTCGTCAGCGTCCGTCTGGTCTGGCTGCTCCATGCGTCATGTCTGTTGTAATAAAGCCAGCATGTTGACAGCTGTTCCCATTCCATTACCAATGCTACCATGAAAGCATTCCAGGTCTATTAGGTCTGCTCCCTCCATCCTGAGGGATGACTATATCAGTCATGTGGCGTCATACCAACAGCACCTTCACCTCTCCTCTGTCATCCCAGTCGGCTCGGGAGGGGCGGCCATATTGGGGCTATAGTGTTGTGGTTTCTTTGTAACCACTGAGAAAGCCCTGTGGTTTCCCCGACAGCCCTGTGATCGTGGAGATCCCCCATTTTGGTTCAATGAGGGGGAAGGAGAGAGAGCTGATCATGCTGAGGAGTGAGAACGGAGAGACCTGGAAGGAACATCAGGACGACTACAAGACAGATGACCTCAATGAGCTGCTCAACGGCATGGATGAAGGTATGGAGGATATTATAGAACTATCATTCAGATGGATGAAGGTATGGAGGATATTATACAACTATCATTCAGATGGATGAAGGTATGGAGGATATTATACAACTATCATTCAGATGGATGAAGGTATGGAGGATATTATAGAACTAGCATTCAGATGGATGAAGGTATGGAGGATATTATACAACTAGCATTCAGATGGATGAAGGTATGGAGTATATTATACAACTAGCATTCAGATGGATGAAGGTATGGAGTATATTATACAACTAGCATTCAGATGGATGAAGGTATGGAGTATATTATACAACTAGCATTCAGATGGATGAAGGTATGGAGTATATTATACAACTAGCATTCAGATGGATGAAGGTATGGAGGATATTATACAACTATCATTCAGATGGATGAAGGTATGGAGTATATTATACAACTATCATTCAGATGGATGAAGGTATGGAGTATATTATACAACTATCATTCAGATGGATGAAGGTATGGAGTATATTATACAACTATCATTCAGATGGATGAAGGTATGGAGTATATTATACAACTATCATTCAGATGGATGAAGGTATGGAGTATATTATAGAACTATCATTCAGATGGATGAAGGTATGGAGTATATTATAGAACTATCATTCAGATGGATGAAGGTATGGAGTATATTATAGAACTATCATTCAGATGGATGAAGGTATGGAGTATATTATACAACTAGCATTCAGATGGATGAAGGTATGGAGTATATTATAGAACTATCATTCAGATGGATGAAGGTATGAAGTATATTATAGAACTATCATTCAGATGGATGAAGGTATGGAGTATATTATACAACTATCATTCAGATGGATGAAGGTATGGAGTATATTATACAACTATCATTCAGATGGATGAAGGTATGGAGGATATTATACAACTATCATTCAGATGGATGAAGGTATGGAGTATATTATACAACTAGCATTCAGATGGATGAAGGTATGGAGTATATTATACAACTAGCATTCAGATGGATGAAGGTATGGAGTATATTATACAACTATCATTCAGATGGATGAAGGTATGGAGTATATTATAGAACTATCATTCAGATGGATGAAGGTATGGAGGATATTATACAACTATCATTCAGATGGATGAAGGTATGGAGGATATTATACAACTATCATTCAGATGGCTGAAGGTATGGAGGATATTATACAACTATCATTCAGATGGCTGAAGGTATGGAGTATATTATAGAACTAGCATTCAGATGGATGAAGGTATGGAGTATATTATAGAACTATCATTCAGATGGATGAAGGTATGGAGTATATTATACAACTATCATTCAGATGGATGAAGGTATGGAGTATATTATACAACAACTATCATTCAGATGGATGAAGGTATGGAGTATATTATAGAACTATCATTCAGATGGATGAAGGTATGGAGTATATTATAGAACTATCATTCAGATGGATGAAGGTATGGAGTATATTATAGAACTATCATTCAGATGGATGAAGGTATGGAGTATATTATAGAACTATCATTGATTCTGGACAGTTCAGTGTAATAATCATTCTGTTGTCTCTACCTCCACAGAGATGGACAGTTCAGTGTAATAATCATTCTGTTGTCTCTACCTCCACAGAGATGGACAGTTCAGTGGGAATAATCATTATGTTATCTCTACCCCCCACAGAGATGGACAGTTTCAGTGTAATAATCATTCTGTTGTCTCTACCTCCACAGAGATGGACAGTTCAGTGTAAAATCATTCTGTTGTCTCTACCTCCACGAGATGGACAGTTCAGTGTAATAATCATTCTGTTGTCTCTACCTCCCACAGAGATGGACCCGTTCAGTGTAAAAATCATTCTGTAATCTCTACCCCACAGAGATGGAAGTTCAGTGTAATAACATTCTGTAATCTCTACCTCCACAGAGATGGACAGTTCAGTGTAATAATCATTCTGTAATCTCTACCTCCACAGAGATGGACAGTTCAGTGTAATAATCATTCTGTTGTCTCTACCTCCACAGAGATGGACAGTTCAGTGTAATAATCATTATGTAATCTCTACCTCCACAGAGATGGACAGTTCAGTGTAATAATCATTCTGTTGTCTCTACCTCCACAGAGCTGGACAGTTTCAGTGTAATAATCATTCTGTTGTCTCTACCTCCACAGAGATGGACAGTTCAGTGTAATAATCATTCTGTAATCTCTACCTCCACAGAGATGGACAGTTCAGTGTAATAATCATTCTGTAATCTCTACCTCCACAGAGATGGACAGTTCAGTGTAATAATCATTCTGTAATCTCTACCTCCACAGAGATGGACAGTTCAGTGTAATAATCATTCTGTTGTCTCTACCTCCACAGAAATGGACAGTTCAGTGTAATAATCATTCTGTTGTCTCTACCTCCACAGAGATGGACAGTTCAGTGTAATAATCATTCTGTAATCTCTACCTCCACAGAGATGGACAGTTCAGTGTAATAATCATTCTGTTGTCTCTACCTCCACAGAGATGGACAGTTCAGTGTAATAATCATTATGTTGTCTCTACCTCCACAGAGATGGACAGTTCAGTGTAATAATCATTCTGTTGTCTCTACCTCCACAGAGCTGGACAGTTCAGTGTAATAATCATTCTGTTGTCTCTACCTCCACAGAGATGGACAGTTCAGTGTAATAATCATTCTGTTGTCTCTACCTCCACAGAGATGGACAGTTCAGTGTAATAATCATTCTGTTGTCTCTACCTCCACAGAGATGGACAGTTCAGTGTAATAATCATTATGTAATCTCTACCTCCACAGAGATGGACAGTTCAGTGTAATAATCATTCTGTTGTCTCTACCTCCACAGAGCTGGACAGTTCAGTGTAATAATCATTCTGTTGTCTCTACCTCCACAGAGCTGGACAGTTCAGTTGTAATAATCATTCTGTTTGTCTCTACCTCCACAGAGATGGACAGTTCAGTGTAATAATCATTCTGTTGTCTCTACCTCCACAGAGATGGACAGTTCAGTTGTAATAATCATTCTGTTGTCTCTACCTCCACAGAGATGGACAGTTCAGTGTAATAATCATTCTGTTGTCTCTACCTCCACAGAGATGGACAGTTCAGTGTAATAATCATTCTGTTGTCTCTACCTCCACAGAGATGGACAGTTCAGTGTAATAATCATTCTGTTGTCTCTACCTCCACAGAGATGGACAGTTCAGTGTAATAATCATTATGTTGTCTCTACCTCCACAGAGATGGACAGTTCAGTGTAATAATCATTCTGTTGTCTCTACCTCCACAGAGATGGACAGTTCAGTGTAATAATCATTCTGTTGTCTCTACCTCCACAGAGATGGACAGTTCAGTGTAATAATCATTATGTTGTCTCTACCTCCACAGAGATGGACAGTTCAGTGTAATAATCATTCTGTTGTCTCTTCCTCCACAGAGATGGACAGTTCAGTGTAATAATCATTCTGTTGTCTCTACCTCCACAGAGATGGACAGTTCAGTGTAATAATCATTCTGTTGTCTCTACCTCCACAGAGATGGACAGTTCAGTGTAATAATCATTCTGTTGTCTCTTCCTCCACAGAGATGGACAGTTCAGTGTAATAATCATTCTGTTGTCTCTACCTCCACAGAGATGGACAGTTCAGTGTAATAATCATTATGTTATCTCTACCTCCACATAGATGGACAGTTCAGTGTAATAATCATTATGTAATCTCTACCTCCACAGAGATGGACAGTTCAGTGTAATAATCATTCTGTTGTCTCTACCTCCACAGAGATGGACAGTTCAGTGTAATAATCATTCTGTAATCTCTACCTCCACAGAGATGGACAGTTCAGTGTAATAATCATTCTGTTGTCTCTACCTCCACAGAGATGGACAGTTCAGTGTAATAATCATTCTGTTGTCTCTACCTCCACAGAGATGGACAGTTCAGTGTAATAATCATTCTGTTGTCTCTACCTCCACAGAGATGGACAGTTCAGTGTAATAATCATTCTGTTGTCTCTACCTCCACAGAGATGGACAGTTCAGTGTAATAATCATTCTGTTGTCTCTACCTCCACAGAGATGGACAGTTCAGTGTAATAATCATTCTGTTGTCTCTACCTCCACAGAGATGGACAGTGCCGAGGACCTGGAGAAGAAGCGTATCTGTCGCATCATCACCAAGGATTTCCCACAGTACTTTGCGGTGGTGTCTCGTATCAGACAGGAGAGCAGCCAGATGGGCCCAGAGGGAGGAGTCCTCTCCAGCCTGACACTCCCATTGGTCCAGGCCTCCTTCCCCGAGGGGGCGCTCACCAAAAAGATACGCGTGGGACTGCAGGTTGGTCTGGTCACAATGCTGAACTGTTCTGGGAACAATTGGGGAAACGATCGCACTGTACTTGTTTACTGTAGTTGTTATGAGAAGAATGAATCACTTGTTGAATAAGGATAGGAGGCGTGTTATAACTGTGGAACAGCGTTTCTGATTGGCTTATTATGAATTATGATTCTGATTGGTTCTAGGCCCAGCCGGCTCCTGATGACATGGTGAAGAAGATCCTTGGTAACCGGGCAACCTTCAGTCCCATAGTGACGGTGGAACCTCGACGCAGGAAGTTCCACAAACCCATCACCATGACGATCCCGGTCCCGCCCCTGTCAGGGGAGGGGGTTAGCAATGGCTACAAGGGAGACTCCACCCCCTGCCTGAGGTTGCTATGCAGCATCACCGGCGGAACCTCTCCTGCCCAATGGGAGGACATCACTGGGACCACACCCCTAACCTTCGTCAACGACTGTGTCTCCTTCACTACCAATGTCTCTGCCAGGTAAGACTGTCTCCTTCACTACCAATGTCTCTGCCAGGTAAGACTGTCTCCTTCACCACCAATGTCTCTGCCAGGTAAGACTGTCTCCTTCACTACCAATGTATCTGCCAGGTAAGACTGTCTCCTTCACCACCAATATCTCTGCCAGGTAAGACTGTCTCCTTCACTACCAATGTCTCTGCCAGGTAAGACTGTCTCCTTCACTACCAATATCTCTGCCAGGTAAGACTGCCTCCTTCACTACCAATGTCTCTGCCAGGTAAGACTGTCTCCTTCACTACAAAATATCTCTGCCAGGTAAGACTGCCTCCTTCACCACCAATGTATCTGCCAGGTAAGACTGTCTCCTTCACCACCAATATCTCTGCCAGGTAAGACTGCCTCCTTCACCACCAATGTCTCTGCCAGGTAAGAAAAGTTTAGTAAGACAAAAGGTAATATAACTGGGTTTAGTATTATCACTGACTACTGGCTTTACTGGGTTATTAAGTCATTTTACATTCTATGTGATTATAATACAGATTGAATAACAAAACAATACTATACATTACAGAACATAACATATACTGAACAAGCAACAGATCATATAAGGAAATCAGTCAATTGAAATAAGTTAATTAGGCCCTGAAGAGCTCAGTGACTTTCAACATGGCACCGTCATAGGATGCCACCTTTCCAACAAGTCAGTTAGTCTAATTTCTGCCCTGCTAGAGCTGCCCCGGTCAACTGTAAGTGCTGTTATTGTGAAGTGGAAACGTCTAGAATCAACAACGGCTCAGGCGCGAGGTGGTAGGCCACACAAGCTCACAGAACGGGACCGCCGATTGCTGAAGCGCGTAGCGCGTAAAAATCGTCTATCCTCGGTTGCAACACTCCACTACCGAGTTCCAAAATGCCTCTGGATGCAACATCAGCACAAGAACTGTTAGTCGGGAGCTTCATGAAATGGGTTTCCATGGCCGAGCAGCCGCACACAAGCCTAAGATAACCATGCGCAATGCTGAGCGTCGGCTGGAGTGGTGCAAAGCTCGCCGCCATTGGACTCTGGAGCAGTGGAAATGGGTTCTCTAGAGTGATGAATCATACTTCACCATCTGGCAGTCTGACGGACAAATCTGGGTTTGCCTGATGCCAGGAGAACGCTACCTGCCCGAATGCGTAGTGCCAACTGTAAAGTTTGGTGGAGGAGGGATAATTGTCTGGGGCCGTTTTTCAGGGTTTGCCCTAGGCCCCTTAGTTCCAGTGAAGGGAAATATTAATGCTACAGCATACAATGGCATTCTAGACGATTCTGTGCTTCCATCTTTGCGGAAACAGTTTGAGGAAGGCCGTTTCCTGTTTCAGCATGACAATGCCTCCGTGCACAAAGCGAGGTCCATACAGAAATCGTTTATTGAGATCGGTGTGGAAGAACTTGACTGGCCTGCACAGAGCCCTGACCTCAACCCCATCGAACACCTTTGGGATGAATTGGAACGCCAACTGCGAGCCAGGCCTAATCGCCCAACATCACTGTCCAACCTCACTAATGCTCTTGTGGCTGAATGGAAGCAAGTCCCACAGCAATGTTCCAACATCTAGTGGAAAGCCTTCCCAGAAGAGTGGAGGTTGTTATAGCAGCAAAGGGGGGACCAACTCCATATTAATGCCCATGATTTTGGAATGAGATGTTGGACAAGCTGGTGTATTTTCACTGTTATTACCTCCCTTACTTTCTGTCTTCCTGTTTTCTTTCCTCCTCTACTCTGTCCTCCTGTATCTGTCCTCTGTCCTGTGTGTGTTTCTAACCTGTATCTGTCCTCTGTCCTGTGTGTGTTTCTAACCTGTATCTGTCCTCTGTCCTGTGTGTGTTTCTAACCTGTATTTGTCCTCTGTCCTGTGTGTGTTTCTAACCTGTATCTGTCCTCTGTCCTGTGCTTGTTTCTAACCTGTATCTGTCCTCTGTCCTGTGTGTGTTTCTAACCTGTATCTGTCCTCTGTCCTGTGCTTGTTTCTAACCTGTATCTGTCCTCTGTCCTGTGTGTGTTTCTAACCTGTATCTGTCCTCTGTCCTGTGTGTGTTTCTAACCTGTATCTGTCCTCTGTCCTGTGTGTGTTTCTAACCTGTCTCTGTCCTCTGTCCTGTGTGTGTTTCTAACCTGTCTCTGTCCTCTGTCCTGTGTGTGTTTCTAACCTGTATCTGTCCTCTGTCCTGTGTGTGTTTCTAACCTGTCTCTGTCCTCTGTCCTGTGTGTGTTTCTAACCTGTATCTGTCCTCTGTCCTGTGTGTGTTTCTAACCTGTCTCTGTCCTCTGTCCTGTGTGTGTTTCTAACCTGTATCTGTCCTCTGTCCTGTGTGTGTTTCTAACCTGTATCTGTCCTCTGTCCTGTGTGTGTTTCTAACCTGTCTCTGTCCTCTGTCCTGTGTGTGTTTCTAACCTGTCTCTGTCCTCTGTCCTGTGTGTGTTTCTAACCTGTCTCTGTCCTCTGTCCTGTGTGTGTTTCTAACCTGTCTCTGTCCTCTGTCCTGTGTGTGTTCCAGGTTCTGGCTAGCTGACTGCCACCAGATCCCAGAGACAGTAGGCCTGGCCAGTCAGCTGTATAGAGAGCTCATCTGTGTTCCTTACATGGCCAAGTTCGTGGTGTTCGCCAAGATGAACGACCCTATGGAGTCCCACCTGCGCTGCTTCTGTATGACAGACGACAAGGTGGACAAAACCCTGGAACAGCAGGAGAATTTTGAGGAGGTGGCCAGGAGCAAAGACATTGAGGTGGGTTTCAGCTCAATGGGTGTAACTTATGTTGACAATTTTGATTCCTTTTGGAAACAAAGCACGTTTTATAAGGAGGATGGGATCCACCCAAATAATATGGGTTCCTGGATCCTTTCACAGCATTATAAGGCTGCGTTGAGACAATGACTTATCAATGACCCAAGCCCAGCTCAGTTAATCACTACCATTGTGTCGCTGAGTCATCATAATGCTTTAGCAAATGTACATTATACCAGGGACATTGGTAGACACAATGTAAGTAACCTAATTTATGTCCCTCTAACTGCCCTGAATGCCTCTGCTGATCCTACAACTATTGGATGCAGTAATCATGTGTCTATGAACCGAGGAGGAAGTCCACTGTGTGCAGCTCACCCTGCACTAACATAAAGAACATGAGCACATCTACTGCTGCTAAGCTTCCCAGTAAAGCAATAAAAACAAGCAAGCTTCCCAGAAAAGTGCTAAAGATAGCCCACACTACCAGGGTAGTTATAAACAGTACAGGAATGAAATCATCAACATGTATTGATCATATCTTTACTAATGCTGTAGAAATGTGCTTGAAAGCAGTAACCAGATCCATCGGATGTAGTGATCACAATAGAGTAGCCATATCTAGGAAAACCAAAGTTCCAAAGGCTGGGCCTAATATAGTGTATAAGAGGTCATACAATAAGTTTTGTAGTGATTCCTATGTTGTTGATGTAAAGAATATTTGCTGGTCTGTGGTGTGTAATGAGGAGCAAACAGACACTGCACTTGACACATTTATGAAATTGCTTATTCCAGTTACTAATAAGCATGCACCCATTAAGAAAATGACTACAAAAACTGTTAAATCCCAATGGATTGATGAGGAATTGAAAAATGGCTTGGTTGAGAGGGATGAGGCAAAAGGAAAGGCAAATAGGTCTGGCTGCACAACCGATTGGCAAACGTATTGCAAATTGAGAAATCATGTGACTAAACTGAATAAAAAGAAGAAGAAACTACACTATGAAACAAAGATAAATGACATAAAGAATGATAGTAAAAAGCTTTGGAGCACCTTCAATGACATTTTGGGCAAAAAGGCAAACTCAGCTCCATCATTCATTGAATCAGATGGCTCATTCATCACAAAACCCACTGATATTGCCAACTACTAATTATTTTTTAATTGGCAAGATTAGCAAACTTAGGTATGACATGCCAGCAACCAACGCTGACACTACACATCCAAGTTTATCTGACCAAATTATGAAAGACAAGAATTGTAATTTTGAATTCCGTAAAGTGAGTGTGGAAGAGGTGAACAAATTATTGTTGTCTATTAACAATGACAAGCCACCGGGGTCTGACAACTTGGATGGAAAATTACTGAGGATAATAGCGGACGATATTGCCACTCCTATTTGCCATATCTTCAATTTAAGCCTACTAGAAAGTGTGTGCCCTCAGGCCTGGAGGGAAGCAAAAGTCATTCCGCTACCTAAGAATAGTAAAGCCCCCTTAACTGGCTCAAATAGCCGACCAATCAGCCTGTTACCAACCCTTAGTAAACTATTGGAAAAAATGGTGTTTGACCAGATACAATGCTATTTTACAGTAAACAAATTGACAATAGACTTTCAGCATGCTTACAGAGAAGGACATTCAATAAGCACAGCACTTACACAAATGACTGATGATTGGCTGAGAGAAATTGATGATAAAAAGATTGTGGGGGCTGTTTTGTTAGACTTCAGTGCGGATTTTGACATTATCGATCATAGTCTGCTGCTGGAAAAACGTATGTGTTATGGCTTTACACCCCCTGCTATATTGTGGATACAGAGTTACCTGTCTAACAGAACACAGAGGGTGTTCTTTAATGAAGCCTCTCCAAGCCTCTCCAACATAATCCAGGTAGAATCAGGAATTCCCCAGGGCAGCTGTCTAGGCCCCTTACTTTTTTCAATCTTTACTAACAACATGCCACTGGCTTTGATTTAAAGCCAGTGTGTCTATGTATGCGGATGACTCAACACTATACATGTCAGCTGCTACAGCGACTGAAATGACTGCAACACTTAACAAAGAGCTGCAGTTAGTTTCAGAATGGGTGGCAAGGAATAAGTTATTTTCAAAAAGTAAAAGCATTTTATTTGGGACAAATCATTCACTAAACCCTAAACCTCAACTAAATCTTGTAATGAATAATGTGGAAATTGAGAAAGTTAAGGTGACTAAACTGCTTGGAGTAACCCTGGATTGTAAACTGTCATGGTCAAAACATATTGATGCAACAGTAGCTAAGATGGGGAGAAGTCTGTCTATAATAAAGTGCTGCTCTGCCTTCTTAACAACACTATCAACAAGGCAGGTCCTACAGGCCGTAGTTTTGTCGCACCTGGACTACTGTTCAGTCGTGTGGTCAGGTGCCACAAAGAGGGACTTAGGAAAATTGCAATTGGCTCAGAACAGGGCAGCACGGCTGGCCCTTGGATGTACACAGAGAGCTAATATTAATAATATGCATGTCAATCTCTCCTGGCTCAAAGTGGAGGAGAGATTGACTTCATCACTACTTGTATTTGTGAGAGGTATTAACATGTTGAATGCACCAAGCTGTCTGTTTAAACTACTGGCACACAGCTCAGACACCCATGCATACCCCACAAGACATGCCACCAGAGGTCTCTTCACAGTCCCCAAGTCCAGAACAGACTATGGGAGGCGCACAGTACTACATAGAGCCATGACTACATGGAACTCTATTCCACATCAGGTAACTCAGTCAAGCAGTAAAATCAGATAAAAAAAACAGATAAAACTACACTTTATGGAACAGCGCGGACTGTGAAGAGACACACACACACACAGGTACAGACACATGCACACACACACATTATAACATACGCACTATACACACACGTACACATGGATTTTGTGTTGTAGATATGTGGTAGTGGTAGAGTAGGGGCCTGAGGGCACACAGTGTGTTGTGAAATCTGTGAATGTATTGTCATGTTTTTTAAATTGTATAACTGCCTTATTCTGCTGCGACCCCAGGAAGAGTACGCTTGCTGCCTTGGCCGGAACTACATGGGGATCCCATATAAACACCAGGAAGAGTAGCTGCTGCCTTGACAGGAAACTAATGGGGATCCATAATAAACCCCAGGAAGAGTAGCCGCTGCCTTGGCAGGAAAACTAATGGGGTCCATAATAAACCCCAGGAAGAGTAGCATGCTGCCCTTGACAGGAACTAATGGGGATCCATAATAAACCCCAGGAAGAGTAGCTGCTGCCTTGACAGGAACTAATGGGGATCCATAATAAACCCCAGGAAGAGTAGCTGCTGCCTTGGCAGGAACTAATGGGGATCCATAATAAATCCCAGGAAGAGTAGCTGCTGCCTTGGCAGGAACTAATGGGGATCCATAATAAACCCCAGAAGAGTAGCTGCTGCCTTGATCAGAACAATGGGATCCATAATAAACCCCAGGAAGAGTAGCTGCTGCCTTGCAGGAACTATGGGGATCCATACAACCCCAGGAAGAGTAGCTGCTGCCTTGGCAGGAACTAATGGGGATCCATAACAAACCCCAGGAAGAGTACTGCTGCCTTGGCAGACTAATGGGGATCCATAATAACCCCAGGAAGAGTAGCTGCTGCCTTGGCAGGAACTAATGGGGATCTAATAAACCCCAGGAAGAGTAGCTGCTGCCTTGGCAGGAACTATGGGATCTAATAAAAATAAACCCCAGGAAGAGTAGCTGCTGCCTTGGCAGGAACTAATGGGGATCCATAATAAACCCCAGGAAGAGTAGCTGCTGCCTTGGCAGGAACTAATGGGGATCCATAATAAACCCCAGGAAGAGTAGCTGCTGCCTTGGCAGGAACTAATGGGGATCCATAATAAATACAAATACAAATATAAATACCTGCTGATTTCACTTCCTATGTACATCTCCTGCTCTCATTCGTCACAATGCTCTGGAATTTATTCCGACACGATACATGATTCTAGAATGACTTGAATACTGTATGGTTAGACCAAGCTGTGTGATCAGGATGTAATTGTGCTGTTGTCTCCTAGGTTCTGGAGGGGAGGCCCATCTATGTGGACTGCTATGGTAACTTAGCTCCTCTGACCAAGGCTGGACAGCTACTGGTGCTCAACTTCTACGCATTCAAAGAGAACCGGCTTCCTTTCTGTGTGAAGGTACATATACTATACTACTGTCTGGTTGTCCTCCACCGACTCATGGCCTGGGTAGTGATGGAACCAGGACTGACTCATGGCCTGGGTAGTGATGGAACCAGGACTCATGGCCTGGGTAGTGATGGAACCAGGACTGACTCATGGCCTGGGTAGTGATGGAACCAGGACTGACTCATGGCCTGGGTAGTGATGGAACCAGGACTGACTCATGGCCTGGGTAGTGATGGAACCAGGACTGACTCATGGCCTGGGTAGTGATGGAACCAGGACTGACTCATGGCCTGGGTAGTGATGGAACCAGGACTGACTCATGGCCTGGGTAGTGATGGAACCAGGACTGACTCATGGCCTGGGTAGTGATGGAACCAGGACTGACTCATGGCCTGGGTAGTGATGGAACCAGGACTGACTCATGGCCTGGGTAGTGATGGAACCAGGACTGATAGGAACAAACAGCTTTAGAACAAGGCCTGGAGGCCACATCCTAGTTCCATCCTGCCTGCCAGCTCATCTGATTGATCTGTCACTGGCTTCCTGAACTCTGCTGCTGCAACATGGCTTTCCTTCCCTGTGGATCCTGTGACCCCTTCCAACAGGTCCATACTGACCCTGTCTATGGCTACTGAACTGGATCACTGGGTTTAATGAGTACTCGCCCTTCATGAGTTCATTTGACCCTCAGGAACTCTTAGGATAGAGGCTTCCTGACATCACAGTAGTAGAGTTGATAGCATGGAATCTATAGCATCAAGAACCATAAACTGTGTGCATTCTTTCATGTAGTGAATATCACCTAAACGCTTTGGTTACTCTCTAGGTCAGAGACAACAGCCAGGAGCCGTGTGGCCGTCTGACGTTCCTGAAGGAGACCACTAAGACCACTAAGGGTCTCCCCCAGACGGCCGTGTGTAACCTGAACATCACCCTACCTGCGCTGAAGAAGGTGAGCGCTCAGCTGTTGTCATGGCTGTGTTCCATATCATCCCATGCTCATTCAGGGGGGATAGAGCAGGATGCTAGAGGCAAAGGGCTTCCTGAGTCTGTCTTTTATCTGTTTACAGCTTCATAGTGCTTCATAGTGGTTATCTTTGGCTGTTTCCTAGCCAACCAAATCTCCCGTCTGATTTGGGACTTTATGCTTTGGTGCCTTTCTCTTTCCAACTGGCTGACTGGGGTTGTTGCCGTGGTTTCTGTTAGATTCTCAATGCTTTTTTCTGTGTTTTTATTTGCTGGCTTCTCTAACTGTTTCTGTCAATCACTCCTTTTCACATCCTGTCCATTCCCCTCCTTATTCCACCTGTTTCTGCAATGCATCTTGGGAACCCAAGGAAATGGAGTCAGACCCAGATGAAGAGGTAATATACAGTACCCTGGTGACCTTTACCCCGTCCCTCCATGGCTCTGTGCTTCTCTGGTGACCTTTACCCCGTCCCTCCATGGCTCTGTGCTTCTCTGGTGACCTTTACCCCGTCCCTCCATGGCTCTGTGCTGTTCAATAAGGCTCTGCTCTGTGTGTCCTCTGTCCTCTGTTCTGTCCTCTGCTGCCATATGATCATCTGGCTTTGCTTCTGGTAAGCATCTATACACTGCATGATGGAAACCCTGGGCTCTACCTCTACCCATCCATCCATGTCCCCTGATCTGTCCCCTTTAGGAAAACACTCTTAAGTTAACCATGCAGAGCTGTTGGTGATTTACTTCTTAGATTGTAATATGAACAATTTCTAGATGACGAATTAGCCAAATTGATTTCCTTTACATATGTTGTTAATAGGCTAGCGTTAAGGATTTACAGTGTTTTGTTAACGTAACAATGTTGAAGTAACTTGGCCAGTTTAGTTATCACAGTTACTATAAGAGACAAGTTAATAAACCCCCCCAGGGATAGCGGGAACCAACCCACCCATGGTATAGCGGACCAACCTCACCCCAGGGGATAGTGGGAACCAACCCACCCAGGGATAGAGGGAACCAACCCCCCAGGGATAGCTAAACCCACCCAGGGATAGCGGGAACCAACCCACCCAGGGATAGCGGGAACCAACCCCCCCAGGGATAGCGGGAAACCAACCCCCCCAGGGATAGCGGGAACCAACCCACCCAGGGATAGCGGGAACCAACCCACCCAGGGATAGCGGGAACCAACCCACCCAGGGATAGCGGGAACCAACCCACCCAGGGATAGCGGGAACCATTTACTTGCGTTTAGAAACCATACATTTCAGATCCTATTGATCTGAGGAGTTCAGTAGTTAGGTGATGTCAGGTCATCAGTAGTTAGGTGATGTCAGGTCATCAGTAGTTAGGTGATGTCAGGTCATCAGTAGTTAGGTGATGTCAGGTCATCAGTAGTTAGGTGATGTCAGGTCATCAGTAGTTAGGTGATGTCAGGTCATCAGTAGTTAGGTGATGTCAGGTCATCCATCCTCTAACAGAGAGAACTGATAGGACTGTGTGTTGTTGTTGCAGACAGAAAAGCCAGAACGACGTCATACCTTTACATCTCTAGCCTTGCGTAAGCGTTACAGCTATCTCGCCGAGCCCGCCATGAGTGAGTGTGACATTTTCACTAACTTCTATAACAATAATAATAATAATATGCTTGGAGTTGATTTGCATTAACATGTAACATATTGAGTGAACAACACAGATTATAGCTATTACATATTTATATGTGATATATGCATATTCTCACCTACATAACTTGTATTGTAAGTCCACATGCTTGTTTTTGACATGGTTTCCTTTGCATGGTTTTGTTTCATTAGTATTTTAAGTTACTGTGCTGTGCTTGCCCACAATGTGATATATATATATTTATTTTTTTAAGATATTATTTTTTCACCGGCAATAAAATAACTCAAATCGCGACATACAGATTTAGCTTTGATTGACTAACATAATGATTAGCTTGTTTATTGTAGAAACCTTGCTCTTTTTGGCTTTGTGATTGTGTAGCGTCTTCGTTCTGTTGCATGGAAGGTCATTGCTGACTTTTCTCTCAGCTGCTACAGTTTCCACCGTAGTCGCTTGTCGCTAAGGCTACTCAGTCTTGCATGACATGCACAGATATCATGGAGCTAAAACCTAGAGCTGTGTTTCGCCATATATCTTGCTGTGAAACAGACAGATGGAGGCTTCTGTATAGTGTTGACCTCTGTTTTGTCAGAACACCCTAATTAGGGAATGGAAACGTGGAATTTCAGACCAAACAGATAAAAGGCACTGATGCAGATTGATCTGCTAGCCGGGGGCAGAGGAATATAGCACATCCAAAGTCTAAAGAGAGAAGTTTGATGTTATTCTGGGTTCTGTGCATTTGTCTTGTTGCCGTGTATATGTTTAGTTTGTCTTGTTGCCGTGTATATGTTTAGTTTGTCTTGTTGCCGTGTATATGTTTAGTTTGTCTTGTTGCCGTGTATATGTTTAGTTTGTCTTGGTCTTAGTGGTTGTGTTGCTGTATGTGTTTCATTGGGCTTCTTTACCATCTTACTGTGTAACGTTGTCGGAACCATGGATCATAGTGGATCATATTTCCTTTACGGCTGCATTTTTACCATCATTCCCCATTTCAACTCTTCATCAAAGCATTGTTCTTCCTCCCTTGATAATAGAAGCGTCACTGACACATTCTTTTCCTCTGGTCTCTCTGTTTTTCAACCATTTTCTGTTGATTTTCTGTTGGATTTCATTTTGCTTATTTAAGAAACAGTTGAGCGAAGCACAGCAAGAACACTGCCTGCTGGTTACGCTCACAAACCTGTCTTTTCAACAAGATCTTACCAGGCATGGTCGGCTGCGCCTCTTCCCCACACTGTCCAAGCAAGGTGTGGACTGGGCGCCCTCTCCAGCTCACCGTCCAACACACCATCTGCATCGCCACTAAAGTCTGTCTGGTTGCTCTCCTCTGCCTCTCCAATCAAATCCACCCTCGGAGCCTCACCATCACATTCAGTCAAGTCCTCTGGCGACGTAGCTTCTTCACCTGTCAGATCCTATAGAACTATGGCCTCCCCTGTTAAGACTGTTGTACAGCAGGCCCAGTACCCTGTCCAGGTCTCTGCCAGTCTGGTGTCCTCTTCCTCTAAACCTGGAGCAGATCCTGTCTTCATTAAAGGACTATCCACCCCGTTTTCTTCCAGGACCACCCCAGCCTCTAGCACAGGGTCTGTTCCAGATAGATCAACCATGACTCAACCTAAATCTCCCAAGTCCACAGCCAACATGTACAACTCTAGATTACCCTTAAAATCAGTCCTGTCCTCATCATCCTCCTCCCCTGTCAGAACCATCGCTGGTCTGTCCTCATCCTCCTCCCCTGTCAGAACCATCGCTGGCCTGTCCTCATCCTCCTCCCCTGTCAGAACCATCGCTGGTCTGTCCTCATCCACCTCCCCTGTCAGAACCATCGCTGGCCTGTCCTCATCCTCCTCCCCTGTCAGAACCATCGCTGGCCTGTCCTCATCCTCCTCCCCTGTCAGAACCATCGCTGGCCTGTCCTCATCCTCCTCCCCTGTCAGAACCATCGCTGGCCTGTCCTCATCCTCCTCCCCTGTCAGAACCATCGCTGGCCTGTCCACTACTTCAGCTACGTCTAAGGTGAAGCCCCTCCCCTCTCTGTCCTCACCAGCCCACTCCTCAGAAGCCTCTGCTATGGTGAATGGATTAGTTTCTCCCATGAAGTACGCCTCTTCTTCTCAGTCCTCCTCCCCCTCTCCCTCCTCCCCCTGCTCCTGTCTGCTCTCTGATAGGTCTATCAGTCTGCAGGAGAGGATACAGCCCGCCCCTCCCACTGCCACGTCCAATGTTAGAGCAGCTATAAATGAGGCTGAAAGGACTTTTAACTCTTCGGGGTACGGAACACTCAAATCAGTGTCCTCCTCACGTAGATCGGACAACTCAACGTCTGTCTACGGCTCTATGAGGTCTCAAACCTCTTCCACCACCTCAGCAACATACAATACAATGACTGTACCAGTGTACTCTTTTCTCGATGTTGTGACCGAGTCCCAAGTGAAAAAAGGGCCGGGGTCGCTGAAGATGTCGCCTGCAGACTCTCGCAGGTCAAAGACGGCAGTGAAGTCCCCTCCTTACATCACCCCCCCAGGGCTCACTCTAACCCCGCCCTCCTCCCTGTCCTCCAATCAGGACATCCTGAAAGACGTGGCCGATATGAAGGAGGACCTGATCAGGATGACGGCCATCTTACAGACTGACCCCAGAACGGCCAGGAACGTTCCGTCTCAGACCCCTAAAGAGCCTAAGGTGGAGGATGAGGAGCCCTTCACGATAGTAGAGAAAGTGAAGGAGGATCTAGTTAAGGTCAGTGAGATACTGACCAAGGATGTGGTGAGTGATAGTCAAGCCTGTAGAGGGAAGCCCTCTGAGGAGGAGTGGGAGGAATTCTCTAAAGATGAGTTAGAGGAAGCCCAGCAAAGTGCTGAGGAATTCTTTCACCCCCCATTTGACGCTAACACCCTCTCCTTTAGGCCCCAGTCTATGCCCAGTAAAGAGTTTAATCTAGCCCAGGTTGTTGACTACCTGGCCAATGACATAGGCGCTAGTTCTCTTTCTAAGATGGCCGAGATGAAGAGCCGATATGAGGAGGCGAAAAGGGAAGGGGAGGACAAACAGAAACTCAAGAAACTCAAGATGCCGCCGCCCCCAGGCATGCGCACCTCTGCCTCGGAGAAAGACTTATGTAAACTAGCAGAGACGTATAATGGACCTGACGCCATATTGGAGTCACCAGAGGACTTCTCTCATGAGCAGGATAAGAGTCCTCTGTCAGACAGCGGCTTTGAGACCAGGAGTGAAAAGACTCCTTCAGCCCCCCAAAGTGCAGAGAGCACAGGGCCCAAACCCCCCTTCACTGACCCCATCCCCCCCTGCATCACCGAGACTAGGACCGAGGTGGTCCATATCAGGAGCTACGAGCGCCCAGACGGACCCGGTGAGGCGCTGATGGAGGAGGCAGCCTCAGCATCGCCGGCTTGCATTGAACCAGAGGTCTCCGCCGCCTTCATCAAAGACAAAGTCAAATCATTCCAGATTAAAGTGTCTGACGACTCTGACTCTGTCGTTAGCAAGAGCATGAGGCTCAAAGAGGAGACCCACATCACCACCACGACGCGCATGGTTTACCACAAGCCGCAGCTGAAGGACGGCTCTGAGAGGATCGAAGAGACCATGTCAGTCAGAGACATCATGAAAGCATTCCAGTCCGGAAGGGACCCCTCCAAGGAACTAGCTGGACTGTTTGAGCACAAGGCTGGCCAGGACTCTGTCAAAGGGGATGAACTCACCCCTAGGTTCCTTGATAACGACACTAAAGCCAATAGAATAATGGAGGTTCACATAGAAAAAGAAGGAAACACATTCCAACCAACTGAGGTGATTATCAGGGAGACCAAGAATCATCCAGACTCTTATTTCTATAAAGGAGACAGTAGAATCCAAGAACTGCCTAATTACAACGAGGCGCAGCAGGAAGGGGAGGAGCTTACTGCTGATGACAGCCGGCCCAGCTCCGCTCAGCTCATGGCCGATGACTCCTATCACGATGACGAGCTCTCTGAACTCAGGGGAGAGTCTTACAGGTTCGCTGAGAAGATGCTCCATTCTGAGAAACTAGACATAGCCCACTCTGATACAGAGGACTCTATGGCCGACCAAACACACCGTATGACCTCAGAGTCGCATGGGGCAGAGAGCGATTACGGTGAGAAAGGGGCTGTGCCCAGGAAAGAGTTCACTTTCAAGTCATCAAAGGATACATCCTTTAAGTCAGGTAAATGTTCACATAAGGATGACCAGTTTGACAAAGTGACAGTGTTGCATTACACCGCAGAGCCAGGCAGTCCAAAACATGCCGTTTGGATGCGCTTCACCGAGGACAAGCTGGACAGGAACAGAGAGAAGCTCATCTACGAGGACCGCGTGGATCAAACTGTCAAGGAAGCGGAGGAGAAACTAAGCGAGGTCTCTCAGTTTTTCCGTGACAAAACTGAGAAACTGAACGACGAGCTGCAATCCCCGGAGAAAAAGCCTCCAAAGAGAGACCCCAGGGAGACCAGGTCTGGGCCCAGCTCCACCTGTGGTAGCCCAGAGAAAACCCAGCAGAAAGCCAAGGCAGAGGGGGAGGAGTGGGGCAAGGGAAGGGGGAACATACTGTTCAGTAGTACGACTGAGAGGAAGAGCTCTAGTCTACCCAACAGTCCAGAGAGAGCTGTTCTCTCCCGCTTCAGTGAGGAGACATCCAAACAGCAGACAAAGGTGGAGGAATGGTCTGAGCCAAGCCATGTTAAAGCCTCCACCTCTAAAGTGAGCTCTGTTAGGATGAAGTTTGAATCAGAGGCACAGAACCAAGATAAGAGGAGTTCTCAGCTAGTACAGTCCACACCCCCAGTCAGCAGGCTGCAGGAGAGCAAACTGCCGGTGGATCAACTGTTCACTGGAGGAAAGACAACTAAAGGGTCTGAGGCCACAGAGGAAGGAAGTCCTTCTAAAAAGAGTCCAGAGAAACCCAAAGGACCTGCCTCAAATAGCAGTAAGTCAGTTGTCTCATCAGCTGCCCCAAAACAATCAGGAGACAAACGGACTAATAAGAACCTACTATACACCACAGCCCAAAAACACCTAACAGGGCAGACTGATAAAGAACCAGAGGAAACAACCCCAAGGCAGACTGATAAAGACCCAGAGGAAACAACCCCAAGGAGCCAGGAGAGGATTGGGACCCCAACGAGCCAGGAGAGGATTGGGATCAGTAAGGGTGGAAAGGGACCAGCATCACATGACACACCCAAGGAGAGAAGTGGTGAAGGTGAAAAAGCAGACGTTTCCGGAAGGGATTCTCCTTCCAGACAGGTCGCATCAAGTCCCACAACCAATAGGGTTGCTCATTCTGAACCTGTGTCTAAAGACTATGGGGATGCACCAAACAAGAATGTTAGAAAAAGGCCAGAGTCCCAGATCCCAGTCAGGTCTGTGTCTAGTCACTCAGACAGCGATCAGTCAAAGAAAGCAAAACAAGACACAGTAATTAAGCCATCTGAAAAGACATCCCAAATCCCCATACTAACTATGAACAGAATGCAGGTCAGCCCAGTAACAAGCCCTATAAAGACAGAAGAACTAACAGACACGTCTCTAGAAATATTAGATAACGCACCAAAAGATTCTAACTTGAACAATGTGCGTGACACTTGCACAAGAGAAAAACAAGAGAGATTAGCATCAGAGACAACCACCACCAGAGAAAACTTCAAAAGCATCAAAACATTACCTGTGTATGTGAGTGTCCAGGTGGGTAGGCAGGGAGAAAGAGAGGGCAGAGGAGGGGTACTGTACAAACAGAAACAGCCCTCATCGCCTCAGGCCAGTCCTGATGATGACACGCTAGAGCAGGTCTCTTTCATAGACAGCTCAGGGAAGAGTCCCCTCACCCCAGAGACCCCCAGCTCAGAGGAGGTCAGCTATGACCTCACCTCCAGAACACCAGACTCCATCCTGGGCTTCATGCCCTTCCAGCCCAGCCCTATTCCAGAGGTCTCTGAGGACTCCTCAGAGGACGAGCAGGGCCAGGACCTTTCCTTCAAGGACTTCCCACCAGAGAGACCTAATGTCACAGCAGCTGACCTTAAGAATGGAAACCACCAGGCTGGACAGACGCCTAAAGACAAAGGAGTAGCGTACATCCAGTTCCCCCCTCCGCCTCCCCTGGACTCTGAGCAGTCCAGCCCTGAGAAGAAGAAGAAGGAGGGATCATGTGGTTCCTTGGAGACGGAGATGATGGAGGTCAATCTCCAGGAAGAGCATGATAAACACTTCCTTACGGAGCCCATCATCAGAGTCCAGCCCCCCTCCCCGGTCCCCCCCGGGGCTGACGACAGTGACTCTAGTGATGATGAGTCCGTCTTCCAGCCCCTCTCCTTTAAGAAATACACCTTTAAGATCTCAGAGGGGCAGGAGCAGGAGGACAAGAGTGGGTCCAAATCCCCAAAACAGGATAAAAACAGAAACAACAAAGAGCCAGGAACTAACAGAACTAATGGAAGTAATGGAATTTACGAAGCTGGTAAAACAGTGGAGTACGACTCTGAACAGAATGGAAACGACCAGTCCATAACAGACTGTTCTATCGCCTCGACGCCAGAGTTCTCTCATGACACTGACGCTACTGAGATTGACTCCCTGGACGGGTATGACATGCAGGATGAGGATGATGGTCTGTGTGAGATGGACACTAAACCCTTCAGCCTGCCGGACAGCAGGAAGGACGTGTGGGCCTCAGACAGCATGCTCCGGTCCTGCGACCGCTCCTTCAGTCAGACCAAACTAGAGGTCATTGAAGAGGAAAAAACACCGGAGGAGGAATGCAGAAAGGCTCAAGCTAAAAGTGATCCAGTTGACATTAAAACGGATGGGGCCAGCTCTCAGGACCAGAAGGACAAAGATGGGTTTTCTGATACGTACTTTAGTTACAAGCTAGAGGAGGCGTTTGACTCTCCATTTAAAACTGTTGCTACTAAAGGTCTGGACTTTGACCCCTGGTCCAGTAAAGGAGGTGACGATGAAGTGGTTGACGCCAGGATAAAAGACGACGAGCCGAAGCCGTTTGGGCTGGCAGCAGACGACAGGTCACAGGCCACGACCCCAGACACGACCCCTGCCAGAACCCCGACCGATGATAGCACCACGCCGACTAGCGAGCCTAACCCATTTCCCTTCCATGAAGGGAAGATGTTTGAGATGACTCGCAGTGGTGCGATTGACATGAGCAAGCGGGATATTGTTGAAGAGAGACTGCAGTTTTTTCAGATTGGTGAGCATAACTCTGAAGGGACGTCAGGGGGCGTAAGGGACTGGGTCAGAAGGTCAGGTGTAATCATGTCACAGACTAGGGTAAAGGCCCCTAATGAGGCCCCTGTTTTGACAAGCCCCTGACTAGGTAGAGGCCCCTAATGAGGCCCCTCCAGAATATCAAGCCCCTGACTGGGTAGAGACCCCTAATGAGGCCCCTGTTAGACAAGCCCCTGACTAGGTAGAGGCCTCTAATGAGGCCCCTCCAGAATATCAAGCCCCTTACTGGGTAGAGACCTCTAATGAGGCCCCTCCAGAATATCAAGCCCCTTACTGGGTAGAGGCCCCTAATGAGGCCTGTGTTAGACCCTGACTGGGTAGAGGCCCCTAATGAGGCCTGTGTTATACCCTGACTGGGTAGAGGCCCCTAATGAGGCCCCTCCAGAATATCAAGCCCCTGACTATGTCTTTCAGACCACTACCTCTGGCAGTACCATTCAGAGCACCACACCAGCCCCTGGCATTCAGAGCACCACTGTCTGCTTTGACAGGTCCAATGGTGTCAAGTCAAAAGACTCTGCCTCCAATGTTGACTCTAAATTCTCCACCTTTAAAATTGACTTCAAGACACCTTCAGAAGGATTCAGACGAGTCTAGAGTCTAGAGCCTCAGCCAGTACCCACCAGACAGAGGCAGACTGGAGTAGAGAGAGACAGGCGGACCAGAGCCCAGACTATGGTTAATCTCCGCAGCAGTCCCATCTAACAGGGAACAGCAATAACAACAATAACATGCCAGAGGTATCCCCTAACCTCCATGCTAACTTCGTGCAGCCTGCTAGTATAGTATTCAGTCTGCTGTTCTCCTCAGAGCCCACACTACAGGGTGGAGGCTGCCTTCAGCAGACTAGAGGAGAACAGGGTGGAGGCTGCCTTCAGCAGACTGGAGGAGAACAGGGTGGAGGCAGCCTTCAGCAGGATAGGGGAGAACAGGGTGGAGGCAGCCTTCAGCAGGCTGGAGGAGAACAGGGTGGAGGCAGCCTTCAGCAGGCTGGAGGAGAACAGGGTGGAGGCAGCCTTCAGCAGGCTGGAGGAGAACAGGGTGGAGGCTGCCTTCAGCAGACTGGAGGAGAACAGGGTGGAGGCTGCCTTCAGCAGGATAGGGGAGAACAGGGTGGAGGCAGCCTTCAGCAGGCTGTAGGAGAACAGGGTGGAGGCAGCCTTCAGCAGGCTGGAGGAGAACAGGGTGGAGGCAGCCGTCAGCAGAGTGGAGGAGAACAGGGTGGAGGCTGCCTTCAGCAGACTGGAGGAGAACAGGGTGGAGGCTGCCTTCAGCAGACTGGAGGAGAACAGGGTGGAGGCTGCCTTCAGCAGGCTGGAGGAGAACAGGGTGGAGGCAGCCGTCAGCAGAGTGGAGGAGAACAGGGGGGAGGCAGCCTTCAGCAGGCTGGAGGAGAACAGGGTGGAGGCTGCCTTCAGCAGGATAGGGGAGAACAGGGTGGAGGCTGCCTTCAGCAGGCTGGAGGAGAACAGGGTGGAGGCAGCCTTCAGCAGACTGGAGGAGAACAGGGTGGAGGCAGCCTTCAGCAGGCTGGAGGAGAACAGGGTGGAGGCAGCCTTCAGCAGGCTGGAGGAGAACAGGGTGGAGGCTGTCTTCAGCAGACTGGAGGAGAACAGGGTGGAGGCTGCCTTCAGCAGGCTGGAGGAGAACAGGGTGGAGGCAGCCTTCAGCAGACTAGAGGAGAACAGGGTGGAGGAGAACAGGGTGGAGGAGAACAGGGTGGAGGCAGCCTTCAGCAGGCTGGAGGAGAACAGGGTGGAGGCTGCCTTCAGCAGGCTGGAGGAGAACAGGGTGGAGGCAGCCTTCAGCAGGCTGGAGGAGAACAGGGTGGAGGCAGCCTTCAGCAGACTGGAGGAGAACAGGGTGGAGGCAGCCTTCAGCAGGCTGGAGGAGAACAGGGTGGAGGCAGCCTTCAGCAGGCTGGAGGAGAACAGGGTGGAGGCAGCCTTCAGCAGGCTGGAGGAGAACAGGGTGGAGGCTGCCTTCAGCAGGATAGGGGAGAACAGGGTGGAGGCTGCCTTCAGCAGGCTGGAGGAGAACAGGGTGGAGGCAGCCTTCAGCAGGCTGGAGGAGAACAGGGTGGAGGCAGCCTTCAGCAGGCTGGAGGAGAACAGGGTGGAGGCAGCCTTCAGCAGGCTGGAGGAGAACAGGGTGGAGGCAGCCTTCAGCAGGCTGGAGGAGAACAGGGTGGAGGCAGCCTTCAGCAGGCTGGAGGAGAACAGGGTGGAGGCAGCCTTCAGCAGGCTGGAGGAGAACAGGGTGGAGGCTGTCTTCAGCAGACTGGAGGAGAACAGGGTGGAGGCTGCCTTCAGCAGGCTGGAGGAGAACAGGGTGGAGGCAGCCTTCAGCAGACTAGAGGAGAACAGGGTGGAGGAGAACAGGGTGGAGGAGAACAGGGTGGAGGCAGCCTTCAGCAGGCTGGAGGAGAACAGGGTGGAGGCTGCCTTCAGCAGGCTGGAGGAGAACAGGGTGGAGGCAGCCTTCAGCAGGCTGGAGGAGAACAGGGTGGAGGCTGCCTTCAGCAGGCTGGAGGAGAACAGGGTGGAGGCAGCCTTCAGCAGGCTAGGGGAGAACAGGGTGGAGGCTGCCTTCAGCAGGCTAGGGGAGAACAGGGTGGAGGCAGCCTTCAGCAGGCTAGAGGAGAACAGGGTGGAGGCTGCCTTCAGCAGGCTGGAGGAGAACAGGGTGGAGGCTGCCTTCAGCAGACTGGAGGAAAACAGGGTGGAGGCAGCCTTCAGCAGGCTGGAGGAGAACAGTCCAGGTCCATCACAACATCCAGGTCCAACACTACATCCAGGTCCAATACTACATCCAGGTCCAACACTACATCCAGGTCCAATACTACATCCAGGTCCAATACTACATCCAGATCCAACACTACATCCAGATCCAACACTACATCCAGGTCCAATACTACATCCAGGTCCAACACTACATCCAGGTCCAACACTACATCCAGGTCCAACACTACATCCAGGTCCAACACTACATCCAGGTCCAACACTACATCCAGATCCAACACTACATCCAGGTCCAACACTACATCCAGGTCCAACACTACATCCAGGTCCAACACTACATCCAGGTCCAACACTACATCCAGGTCCAACACTACATCCAGGTCCAACACTACATCCAGGTCCAATACTACATCCAGGTCCAACACTACATCCAGGTCCAATACTACATCCAGGTCCAACACTACATCCAGGTCCAACACTACATCCAGGTCCAACACTACATCCAGGTCCAACACTACATCCAGGTCCAATACTACATCCAGGTCCAATACTACATCCAGGTCCAATACTACATCCAGGTCCAACACTACATCCAGGTCCAACACTACATCCAGGTCCAACACTACATCCAGGTCCAACACTACATCCAGGTCCAATACTACATCCAGGTCCAATACTACATTCAGGTCCAATACTACATCCAGGTCCAACACTACATCCAGGTCCAACACTACATCCAGGTCCAACACTACATCCAGGTCCAACACTACATCCAGGTCCAATACTACATCCAGGTCCAACACTACATCCAGGTCCAATACTACATCCAGGTCCAATACTACATCCAGGTCCAACACTACATCTAGGTCTGCTAGAGACGTGAGAGCAGAGGTTGAGCAGGCCGGCAGAGAGAAGAGGAGGAGATGGAGGAAGTGAGGAGCAGCAGTAGGCCGGCAGCAGGACAGGAGAAGGAATGCAGTCAGGTTGCAGGGTCCAACATGGCCCCCGTCATGGAGACCAAGCCTAGTGTGTAAAAAATGTACACTTGTTGATCTTTAGTGCATGAGCCGTTGTAATTGGCTGTGATGTGACTTAATTGTAGCTGTTATTCTGCCATTGTCGTCTCTGTGTCCTGTCCAATCAGACTTAGGCGATGTATTAACTGTCCAATCAGACTTAGGAGATGTATTAACTGTCCAATCAGACTTTCTTAACCAGACTTAGGGACATTCTTAACTGTCCAAACATCCTTAGGGACATTCTTAACTGTCCAAACATACTTAGGAACTTTCTTAACTGTCCAAACATACTTAGGGACATTCTTAACTGTCCAAACATACTTAGGGACATTCTTAACTGTCCAAACATACTTAGGGACATTCTTAACTGTTCAAACATACTTAGGGACATTCTTAACTGTCCAAACATACTTAGGCACTTTCTTAACTGTCCAAACATACTTAGGGACATTCTTAACTGTCCAAACATACTTAGGAACTTTCTTAACTGTCCAAACATACTTAGGGACATTCTTAACTGTCCAAACATACTTAGGCACTTTCTTAACTGTCCAAACATACTTAGGGACATTCTTAACTGTCCAAACATACTTAGGAACTTTATTAACTGTCCAAACATACTTAGGCACTTTCTTAACTGTCCAAACATACTTAGGGACATTCTTAACTGTCCAAACATACTTAGGCACTTTCTTAACTGTCCAAACATACTTAGGGACATTCTTAACTGTCCAAACATACTTAGGAACTTTCTTAACTGTCCAAACATACTTAGGGACATTCTTAACTGTCCAAACATACTTAGGAACTTTCTTAACTGTCCAAACATATTTAGGAACTTTCTTAACTGTTCAAACATACTTAGGGACATTCTTAACTGTCCAAACATACTTAGTGACATTCTTAACTGTCCAAACATACTTAGGGACATTCTTAACTCTCCAACCAAACATAAGAACTTTCTTCACTGTCCGACCAGATTTAGGAAATTTCTTCACTGTCCGACCAGATTTTGGAAGAAAACTAGGAAACAGTAGTCAGGTACTGCAGCATGACAGTGACCAGAGCACTGTAGAGATGAGTAGTGTCTGGTCCATGTGGAGCGGTGCTGAGTCTGGAGCAGTGTAGTAGAGATGAGTAGTGTCTGGTCCATGTGGAGCGGTGCTGAGTCTGGAGCAGTGTAGTAGAGATGAGTATGTCTGGTCCTGTGGAGCGGTGCTGATCTGTAGCAGTGTAGTAGAGATGAGTAATGTCTGGTCCATGTGTGAGCGGTGCTGAGAGTCTGGAGCAGTGTAGTAGAGATGAGTAGTGTCTGGTCCATGTGGAGCGGTGCTGAGTCTGGAGCAGTGTAGTAGAGATGAGTAGTGTCTGGTCCATGTGGAGCGGTGCTGAGTCTGGAGCAGTGTAGTAGAGATGAGTAGTGTCTGGTCCATGTGGAGCGGTGCTGAGTCTGGAGCAGTGTAGTAGAGATGAGTAGTGTCTGGTCCATGTGGAGCGGTGCTGAGTCTGGAGCAGTGGTAGTAGAGGATGAGTAGTGTCTGGTCCATGTGGAGCGGTGCTGAGTCTGGAGCAGTGTAGTAGAGATGAGTAGTGTCTGGTCCATGTGGAGCGGTGCTGAGTCTGGAGGCAGTGTAGTAGAGATGAGTAGTGTCTGGTCCATGTGGGAGCGGTGCTGAGTCTGGAGCAGTGTAGTAGAGTATGAGTAGTGTCTGGTCCATGTGGAGCGGTGCTGAGTCTGGAGCAGTGTAGTAGAGATGAGTAGTGTCTGGTCCATTTGGAGCGGTGCTGAGTCTGGAGCAGTGTAGTAGAGATGAGTAGTGTCTGGTCCATGTGGAGCGGTGCTGAGTCTGGAGCAGTGTAGTAGAGATGAGTAGTGTCTGGTCCATGTGGAGCGGTGCTGAGTCTGGAGCAGTGTAGTAGAGATGAGTAGTGTCTGGTCCATGTGGAGCGGTGCTGAGTCTGGAGCAGTGTAGTAGAGATGAGTAGTGTCTGGTCCATGTGGAGCGGTGCTGAGTCTGGAGCAGTGTAGTAGAATAGCAGTACCACACAGGGGACCGTGGTCCTGTCCCCTCCAGCAGGATACTGGCATGTCTACTTTCGTTTCACTCTGCAACACGTTTGGCCTTGGACACCAAGCTCCACACTATAGAGATAGTGACGTGGGAATTGGGATGGTTTTGTTTCTGTGATGGCCTTGGACACCAAGCTCCACACTATAGAGATAGTGACGTGGGAATTGGGATGGTTTTGTTTCTGTGATGGCCTTGGACACCAAGCTCCACTCTATAGAGATAGTGACGTGGGAATTGGGATGGTTTTGTTTCTGTGATGGTTTTATTGCCTGGTAGCCTGGCTGGTGACATTCCTAACACCACAACTCAACAACAGATACTAGTCTGCCACTGTAACAGTCTATGTGTCCTTCTCTTGCCATTGGATCCTCTCAGTTCTACCTGTTACTATCTGGCTTCTTATTCGGTTTACATTCTAAGAATTGTGCAGACAAGTTCTCCAAAATGTAGAGCGTTTACTATGATCCTACTGTCCAGAGACCTCTGAACTGATGAGGAGAATTTGGCCAGAAAAGGGTATGTTCTGTTTATCTTAAATACCCAGTGTGATGAGATGATAACATGGTGCTGTCTGCCCCCCACCAGGCCCTCAGAGCCCCTGTGAGAGGACTGACCTGCGGACGGCCATAGTGGCAGATCACTTGGGTCTGAGCTGGACTGGTAAGAACACACTAGCATGTCTCCCCCTGGAGGACAGCAGTAGAATGACAGTCTCTCTCCTACTGCAGCGACATAGTGTACCAGCCACACACACCATTACACCACACACTGACTGGAGAAGGGCTAGAATACATTAGATGAGATTACAGATTGTGACACCATACTGTTCCTGTTGATGACTGAGCTGGGTCTGTTCCATCTGGAGGTTCCTGTCATTATTATTAGGAGGGAAAGGGAGTGCCCTCTGCAGTGTGCCCTTCCCAGCCCAGCTCCCCTCCCCTCCCCGTCTACACTGCAGCATTACGGACATGTCTGTCCTGGGGAGGAGGAGAGGAGAGGAGAGGAGAGGAGAGGAGAGGAGAGGAGAGGAGAGGAGAGGAGAGGAGAGGAGAGGAGAGGAGAGAGAGGAGAGGAGAGGAGAGGAGAGGAGAGGAGAGGAGAGGAGAGGAGAGGAGAGGAGAGGAGAGGAGAGAGGAGAGGAGAGAGAGGAGTCTAATCCATATTTAATGTGTTTCTGTTTCAGAGCTTGCCAGGGAAATGGATTTCTCTGTAGATGAGATCAATCACATCCGTGTGGATAACCCCAACTCTCTGACCACTCAGAGTTTCATGCTTTTAAAGAAATGGGTTAGCAGAGATGGTAAAAATGCCACAAGTAGGTATCCCATTTCCTCCCTGAAATGATTACGTGTTTTATGTAACTTTTCATTACTGAAACCCCAGATTAATCCTGTAGCAGCAGCATCGCACAGGTCACAGAGCTGTCTCAGGTCATTACTCTACACAGAGCTGTCTGGCTCAAGGCTCAGAGCATAGTACTGGCTCCAGGTTGCATCTCATCAGACAGATCAAAGATTGGGTCATAAATTCATGACCAAGTTGACAGAGAGCCAGCCCTGTCTGACTGTAGAGAACCAGCCCTGTCTGACTGTAGAGAACCAGCCCTGTCTGACTGTAGAGAACCAGCCCTGTCTGACTGTAGAGAACCAGCCCTGTCTGACTGTAGAGAACCAGCCCTGTCTGACTGTAGAGAACCAGCCCTGTGACTGTAGAGAACCAGCCCTGTCTGACTGTAGAGAACCAGCCCTGTGACTGTAGAGAACCAGCCCTGTCTGACTGTAGAGAACCAGTCCAGGCTGTCTGACTGTAGAGAACCAGCCCTGTGACTGTAGAGAACCAGCCCTGTCTGACTGTAGAGAACCAGCCCTGTCTGACTGTAGAGAACCAGCCCTGACTGACTGTAGAGAACCAGCCCTGTCTGACTGTAGAGAACCAGCCCTGTCTGACTGTAGAGAACCAGCCCTGTCTGACTGTGGAGAACCAGCCCTGTCTGACTGTAGAGAACCAGCCCTGTGACTGTAGAGAACCAGCCCTGTGACTATAGAGAACCAGCCCTGTGACTGTAGAGAACCAGCCCTGTCTGACTGTAGAGAACCAGCCCTGTGACTGTAGAGAACCAGCCCTGTCTGACTGTGGAGAACCAGCCCTGTCTGACTGTGGAGAACCAGCCCTGTGACTGTAGAGAACCAGCCCTGTCTGACTGTAGAGAACCAGCCCTGTGACTGTAGAGAACCAGCCCTGTCTGACTGTGGAGAACCAGCCCTGTGACTGTAGAGAACCAGCCCTGTCTGACTGGAGAACCAGCCCTGTCTGACTGTAGAGAGCCAGCCCTGTGACTGTAGAGAACCAGCCCTGTGACTGTAGAGAACCAGCCCTGTCTGACTGTGGAGAACCAGCCCTGTCTGACTGTGGAGAACCAGCCCTGTGACTGTAGAGAACCAGCCCTGTCTGACTGTAGAGAACCAGCCCTGTGACTGTAGAGAACCAGCCCTGTCTGACTGTGGAGAACCAGCCCTGTGACTGTAGAGAACCAGCCCTGTCTGACTGTGGAGAACCAGCCCTGTCTGACTGTAGAGAGCCAGCCCTGTGACTGTAGAGAACCAGCCCTGTCTGACTGTGGAGAACCAGCCCTGTGACTGTAGAGAGCCAGCCCTGTGACTGTAGAGAACCAGCCCTGTCTGACTGTGGAGAACCAGCCCTGTGACTGTAGAGAACCAGCCCTGTCTGACTGTGGAGAACCAGCCCTGTCTGACTGTAGAGAACCAGCCCTGTCTGACTGTAGAGAACCAGCCCTGTCTGACTGTAGAGAACCAGCCCTGTCTGACTGTAGAGAACCAGCCCTGTCTGACTGTGGAGAACCAGCCCTGTCTGACTGTAGAGAACCAGCCCTGTCTGACTGTGGAGAACCAGCCAGACTGTAGGGACTGATGCTATGGCTCCTGTCTCATGCTAGTCTTCTCTAGCCAGTCCCTCCAGGATTCTGCGATCCCTACATATTATGTGAAGTGTTGTATATTTGACCAATCACTGCACTATTTCTGCATAAAAAATATAAAAAATCGCAATATTAACGCATAAAAGTGATCCATCGCCGCAGTACAAGAAGAGGACTCACAATTTCAACTCATCACTGCACATTTACCACATAATATGGTCCAATCAACCCTAACCCTAACCCTAACCCAATCAGGTCCAAGATGGCGTAGCAGTGCGGTCGTGTTTTCTGTAGTGTCCTCGTGTAAATAGCCTGTTTTCAGTTTTTTTGTCTTTTTCGTATATATTTCTCAATCTCACGTTCCATCCTTTAACTAAATATACTTTCCTGCAACCCGCCTCACCCAATGTGGAACGGATTCTATTATTTCTTTATACAACAACTTTTTATCTAGGACCTCCGGCTGAAACTAGCCAGCTAGCCAGCTAACTAGCTACTTGCTATCAGCTACCGTTAGCGGTCTTCACCATTGTCCGTGGCCTGCACTACCTACCAGCCAGCTCTAGGCCTGCACTACCTACCAGCCAGCTCTAGGCCTGCACTACCTACCAGCCAGCTCTAGGCCTGCACTACCTACCAGCCAGCTCTAGGCCTGCACTACCTACCAGCCAGCTCTAGGCCTGCACTACCTACCAGCCAGCTCTAGGCCTGCACTACCTACCAGCCAGCTCTAGGCCTGCACTACCTACCAGCCAGCTCTAGGCCTGCACTACCTACCAGCCAGCTCTAGGCCTGCACTACCTACCAGCCAGCTCTAGGCCTGCACTACCTACCAGCCAGCTCTAGGCCTGCACTACCTACCAGCCAGCTCTAGGCCTGCACTACCTACCAGCCAGCTCTAGGCCTGCACTACCTACCAGCCAGCTCTAGGCCTGCACTACCTACCAGCCAGCTCTAGGCCTGCACTACCTACCAGCCAGCTCTAGGCCTGCACTACCTACCAGCCAGCTCTAGGCCTGCACTACCTACCAGCCAGCTCTAGGCCTGCACTACCTACCAGCCAGCTCTAGGCCTGCACTACCTACCAGCCAGCTCTAGGCCTGCACTACCTACCAGCCAGCTCTAGGCCTGGACTACCTACCAGCCAGCTCTAGGCCTGCACTACCTACCAGCCAGCTCTAGCCTGGACAATTATCGGCCAGTCTGCACAGTCTGCACATCGCGCTATCGAGCCAGAACATATCGGAGTTTCTGCCAGAATCACTGAATCACTGGACCTTAACACCGGATCATCGCAACTATCTAGCTGCAACCGAATGGCTGTTGTTGTTGTTGGCTAATCAACACTGTCCCGAAGCAAGCCCCAGTTAGCCTTGAGCTATCCTCGAGCCAGGCCCACCTCCCAGCTAGCTACCTCTCTGTCAACCGGACGAGACCTCCTAGTGTCGACACGGAGCCCCGCCAATCCATCACGACTGGTCTGCCGACGTAATCGTCTGATGTGGTTTCAACAGGCTTCCCGTTGCGACGACCACGAAGATCCATCTGCTAGCCCCGGCCCGCTAGCACACGCAATCAACAGCCGTGCCTCCCGCTCGCCTGTGCTGTAGAAGCCACAGAACTGCTCCCGGACTCACCTACTGCTGTTCACTGGACCTTATGATCACTCAGCTACACAGCTGATGCCTGCTGGACTGTTCCTTTATACGGTACCCTGTCCTGTTGATCTGTTTAGCCTCAGCTCAAACTTTCGTCGCCATTACCAGCTGTTGTCTCGAGTAACACCTGTGATTGCTTTATGCCTCTCTCCCATGTCAATATGCCTTGCCTATTGCTGTTTCGGTTAGTTCTTTACTGTACTTTTTCACTGTAGAGCCCCCAGTCCCGCTCAACCTGCCTCAGATTTACATTTTACATTTTAGTCATTTAGCAGACGCTCTTATCCAGAGCGACTTACAGTTAGTGAGTGCATACATTTTTCATACTTTAGATAGCTCCTTTGTCCCACCCCCCACACACGTGGAGACTGGCTCAATCGGTGACTCCAGTGATGCTATCTCTTTCATCGTTACCCAACGCTTAGGTTTACCTCCACTGTACTCATATCCTTCCATATCCTTGTCTGTACATAATGCCCTGAATTTATTCTACAACGCCCGGAAATCTGCCCCCTTTATTCTCTGTATCCAACGCACTAGAAGACCAGTTCTTAAAGCCTTTAGCCTTTAGCCGTATCCTTATTCTATTCCTCCTCTGTTCCTCTGGTGATGTAGAGGTTAACCCAGGCCCTGTAACCCCCAGTATCACTCCTACTCCCCAGGCGCTATCATTTGTTGACTTCTGTAACCGCAAAAGCCTTGGTTTCTTGCATGTTAACATCAGAAGCCTCCTCCCTAAGTTTGAGTTATTCACTGCATTAGCACACTCCGCCAACCCTGATGTTCTAGCAGTGTCTGAATCCTGGCTTAGGAAGGCCACCAAAGATTCAGAAATGTCCATTCCCATCTACAACATTTTCCGTCTAGATAGAACTGCCAAAGGGGGTGGAGTTGCAATCTACTGTAGAGATAGCCTGCAGAGCTCTATCATACTATCCAGGTCTGTGCCCAAACAGTTTGAGCTTCTACTTCTAAAAATCCACCTTTCCAGAAATAAACCTCTCACTGTTGCCGCTTGCTACAGACCCCCCTCAGCCCCCAGCTGTGCCCTGGACACCATATGTGAATTGATTGCCCCCCATCTATCCTCAGAGTTCGTACTGCTTGGTGACCTAAACTGGGATATGCTTAACACCCCGGCCGTCCTACAATCTAAACTAGATGCCCTCAATCTCACACAAATTATCAAGGAACCTACCAGGTACAACCCTAAATCCGTTAACATGGGCACCCTCATAGATATCACCCTGACTAATTGACCCTCTAAATACACCTCCGCTGTCTTCAACCAGGATCTCAGCGATCACTGCCTCATTGCCTGTGTCCGTAATGGGTCCGCGGTCAAACGACCACCCCTCATCACTGTCAAACGCTCCCTAAAACACTTCAGCGAGCAGTCCTTCCTAATTGACCTGGCCCGGGTATCCTGGATGGATATTGACCTCATTCCGTCAGTAGAGGATGCCTGGTTGATCTTTAAAAGTGCTTTCCTCTCCATCTTAAATAAGCATGCCCCATTCAAAAAATTCAGAACTAAGAACAGATATAGCCCCTGGTTCACCCCAGACTTGACTGCCCTTGACCAGCACAAAAACATCCTGTGGCGTACTGCATTAGCATCGAACAGTTAGGAAAGCAAAGGCTAGCTTTTTCAAACAGAAATTTGCATCCTGTAGCACTAACTCCAAAAAGTTTTGGGACACTATAAAGTCCATGGAGAATAAGAGCACTTCCTCCCAGCTGCCCACTGCACTGAGGCTAGGAAACACTATCACCACCGATAAATCTACAATAATCTAAAATTTCAACAAGCATTTTGCTATAGCTGGCCATGCTTTCCACCTGGCTACCCCTACCCTGGCCACCAGCTCTGCACCCTCTGCTGCAACTTGCCCATTCCCCCCCCCCCCGCTTCTCCTTCACCCAAATTCAGATAGCTGGTGTTCTGAAAGAGCTGCAAAATCTGGACCCCTACAAATCATCTGGGCTAGACAATCTGGACCCTTTCTAAAATTAGCAGCCGAAATTGTTGCAACCCCTATTACCAGCCTGTTCAACCTCTCTTTCGTATCGTCTGAGATCCCCAGAGATTGGAAAGCTGCCGCGGTCATCCCCCTCTTCAAAGGGGGTGACACTCTAGATGACACTCTAGATCCAAACTGCTACAGACCTATATCCATCCTGCCCTGCCTTTCGAAAGTATTTGAAAGCCAAGTTAACAAACAGATCACCGACCATTTCGAATCCCACCGTACCATCTCCGCTATGCAATCTGGTTTCCGAGCTGGTCATGGGTGCACCTCAGCCACGCTCAAGGTCCTAAACGATATTATAACCGCGATCGATAAAAGACAGTACGGTGCAGCCGTCTTCATCGACCTGGCCAAGGCTTTCGACTCCGTCAATCACCTCATTCTTATTGACACTTTAAATAGCCTTGGTTTCTCAAATGACTGCCTCGCCTGGTTCACCAACTACTTCTCAGATAGAGTTCAATGTGTCAAATCGGAGGGCCTGTTGTCTGGACCTATGGCAGTCTCTATGGTGGTGCCACAGGGTTTCAATCCTCGGGCCGACTCTATTCTCTGTGTACATCAATGATGTCGCTCTTGCTGCTGGTGACTCTCAGATCCACCTCTATGCAGACGACACCATTTTGTATACATCTGGCCCTTCATTGGACACTGTGTTAACAAACCTCCAAACAAGCTTCAATGCCATACAGCACTCCTTCCATAGCATCCAACTGCTCTTAAACGCTAGTAAACTAAATGCATGCTCTTCAATCGAACGCTGCTGGCACCCGCCCGCCCGAAATAGAATCACTACTCTCGGCGGGTCTGACCTAGAGTATGTGGACAACTACAAATACCTAGGTGTCTGGTTAGACCGTAAACTCTCCTTCCAGACTCACATTAAGCATCTCCAATCCAAAGTTAAATCTAGAATCGGCTTCCTATTTCGCAACAAAGCCTCCTTCACTCATGCTGCCAAACATGCCCTCGTAAAACTGACTATCCTACCGATCCTTGACTTCGGCGATATCATTTACAAAATAGCCTCCAACACTCTACTCAGCAAATTGGATGTAGTCTATCACAGTGCCATCCGTTTTGTCTCCAAAGCCCCATATACTACCCACCATTGTGACCTGTACGCTCTCGTTGGCTGGCCCTCACTACATATTCGTCGCCAAACCCACTGGCTCCAGGCCATCTATAAATCACTGCTAGGCAAATCCCCGCCTTATCTTAGTTAATTGGTCACCATAGCAGCACCCACCCGTAGTATGCGCTCCAGCAGGTATATCTCACTGGTCATCCCCAAAGCCAACACCTCCTTTGGCCGCCATTCCTTCCAGTTCTCTGCTGCCAATGACTGGAACGAACTGCAAAAATCTCTGAAGCTGGAGACTCTTATCTCCCTCACTAACTTTAAGCATCAGTTGTCAGAGCACTATGGCCTATTTATTGCCTTACCTCCATAACTTACTACATTTGCACACACTGTATATAGATTTTCTACTGTGTTATTGACTGTACGTTTTTGTTTATCCCATATGTAACTCTGTGTTGTTGTTTTTATCGCACTGCTTTGCTTTATCTTGGCCAGGTCGCAGTTGTAAATGAGAACTTGGCTTACCTGGTTAAATAAAGGCAACAAAAGTTTTCCCTCATCAGCGCATTTTCGTGATAAATTGGTCAAAATCATTGCATATCGTCATGGAAAATGTCATAATTGCTGCTGAAAAATCAAGCATTTTAGCCTGCAGATATCACGAAAACTCTCAGCGGAAACCTCAAGGGACTGTCTACTCTCAGATAAGTCATGTTACCGGCTATATGTTGGTCACTTATCATAAGAGCTTTTTTTCTAATAGTGATATACTGTATGTATTTCATTATACACTGAACAAAAAAAGAAACGCAACATGCAACAATTTCAACGATTTTACTGAGTTACAGATCATATAAAGAAATCAGTCAATTGAAATAAATTAATTAGGCCCTAATGTATGGATTTCACATGACTGGGAATACAGATATGCATCTGTTGGTCACAGATACCTTTAAAAAAAGTAGGGAGGTGGATCAGAAAACCAGTCAGTATCTGGTGTGACCATTTTCCTCATGCAGCGCGACACATCAGGCTGTTGATTGTGGTCTGTGGAATGTTGTCCCACTCCTCATCAATGTCTGTGCGAAGTTGCTGGATATTGGCAGGAACTGGAACACGCTGTTGTACACGTCGATCCAGAGCATCCCAAACATGCTCAATGGATGATATGTCTGGTGAGTATTCAGGCCATGGAAGAACTGGGACATTTTCAGCTTCCAGTAATTGTGTACAGACCCTTGTGACATGTGGCCGTGCATTATCATGCTGAAACATGAGGTGATGGCGGCGGATGAATGGCACGACAATGGGCCTCAGGATCTCATCACGGTATCTCTGTGCATTCAAATTGCCATCGATAAAATGCAATTGTGTTCGTTGTCCATCGCTTATGCCTGCCCATACCATAACCCCACCGGCACCATGGGGCAATCTGTTCACAACGTTGACTATAGCAAACCGCTTGCCCACACGACGCCATACACGCTGTCTGCCATCTGCCCGGTACAGTTGAAACCGGGATTCATCCGTGAAGAGCACACTTCTCCAGCGTGCCAGTGGCCATCAAAGGTGAGCATTTTCCCAATGAAGTCAGTTACGACGCAGAACTGCAGTCAGGTCAACACCCTGGTGTGGATGACGAGCACAGAGATGAGCTTCTCTGGGACGGTTTCTGACAGTTTGTGCCTAAATTCTTCGGTTGTGCAAACCCACAGTTTCATCAGCCGTCCGGGTGGCTGGTCTCAGACGGTCCCGCAGGTGAAGAAGCCAGATGTGGATGTCCTGGGCTGACGTGGTTACACATGGTCTGCGGTTGTGAGGCCGGTTGGACATATTCTCTAAAACGACGTTGGAAGCGGCTTATGGTAGAGAAATTAACATTCCATTCTCTGGCAACAGCTCTGTTGGACATTCCTGCAGTCAGCATGCCAATTGCATGCTCCCTCAAAACTTGAGACATCTGTGGCATTGAGTTGTGTGACAAAAGTGCACATTTTAGAGTGGCCTTTTACTGTCCCCAGCACAAGGTGCACCTGTGTAATGATCATGCTGTTTAATCAGCTTCTTGATATGCCACACCTGTCAGGTGGATGGATTATACATACACATACAATATTCAGTTAGTATAAAAAAACACTATTTGGACATTTTGTTACTATAAAAACGGTTTCAAGTCAAACTCCTCGTTAAGGCCAAGTGGAGATAGTGTGTTGAGCCTGTGGATCCAGAAAGATTCCATTTGAAGAAGTTTCCTCTCAATGTCCCCTCCCCTGCGTGACGTCTTGACCGTTTCTATTCCAGTGTATCTCAGAGAAACAATAGGAGGTCCAGCTTGTACAAAATGAATAGCAACCAGATGTTTTGTCTCACCTGTCCGTATATTGCTGCGGTGCTCACTGATCCATGTCTTTTATTTCAGCTCATGAAACATCGTTTAGAACATGGGGAGGAAGTTGCTGTCAGGATGTTAAGATGTGATTAGTAAACTGTCCTCAAATGTTTGAATACTGTTGTGTATTGCTGTATTAAGTATATTAACCAGTTTGTCTGTTTCTGTCTTTTACTGTAGCGGATTCCCTTACGGAGGTCCTGACTAAGATCAATCGGATGGATATTGTGAAATTGCTGGAAGGGCCAATATTTGACTATGGTAACATTTCAGGCACAAGATGCTTTGCTGATGATAACGCAGTTTTCCTGGATCAGTGTGATGGTAAAGTTTAGCCCCATCTAGCGTAACTCTATCTCTTTCTTTACCTCTCCTTCTTACAGAACAAGCCAGGCTAAACTTGTCGAACATAGAGCCAGTCAGGCTAAACTAGTCGAACATAGAGCCAGTCAGGCTAAACTAGTCGAACATAGAGCCAGTCAGGCTAAACTAGTCGAACATAGAGCCAGCCAGGCTAAACTAGTCGAACATAGAGCCAGCCAGGCTAAACTAGTCGAACATAGAGCCAGCCAGGCTAAACTAGTCGAACATAGAGCCAGTCAGGCTAAACTAGTCGAACATAGAGCCAGCCAGGCTAAACTAGTTGAACATAGAGCCAGCCAGGCTAAACTAGTCGAACATAGAGCCAGTCAGGCTAAACTAGTCGAACATAGAGCCAGTCAGGCTAAATTAGTAGAACATAGAGCCAGCCAGGCTAAACTAGTCGAACATAGAGCCAGTCAGGCTAAACTAGTCGAACATAGAGCCAGTCAGGCTAAATTAGTAGAACATAGAGCCAGCCAGGCTAAACTAGTCGAACATAGAGCCAATCAGGCTAAACTAGTCTAACTAGACTCAATCTGAACATGATGATGACAGATCAGATGTTGATTTTATATTTAATACAGCCCCCTGAAATCAATCAACACTGATACTTTTCCAACATTGCTGTGTGTTAATGACCCTGTCAGGGGGCATAGAGCTCTACTACTGGATGTGTGACTGTATTTATGTTGTGTTCAGTATAAAATAGCATGCTGCTTAATAAGCCTCTGAGGAATCACAACTCTAACCTGTCTGATCTATAAGATGTTCTTAATTTGACCATGAGAGCAAAGTTTATTTCATTCAGATGGGTTAAAGATTTGGTTGATATATTGTTCTATAATAGTTATGTTATGTGTATACTGATTTGAAAAATATAGTAATGTTTAACACACTACATTTGTCACATTTATATGATTGTCAAATACATGAAAACATTATTATGTTAACCAATTTCTATGGCATATGGTTCCTGTCTGTTAGATAGTGGTGTATTGTGGTACTGCTAACCTCCTGTTCTGACAGCATGGCTGTGGCTTTAAGGACCCTCTGCTTGTTATAGGGCTGTTAGTTAGTACCTCTGGTTTCTCTGAGCCTTCCTACCCTGCAGTTATCCTGCTTCTGACTCGCTGAACCAGACCACCTAACCCCTCCCTGCTAACCTGCTACCTGCCCCTCCCTCCCTGCTGACACCCTCCAGCCAACACACTGTACTGTTAACATGCTTAACATATACAGGTAAAAGTCAGTAAATTAGAATATTTTGAAAAACTTGATTTATTTCAGTAATTGCATTCAAAAGGTGTAACTTGTACATTATATTTATTCATTGCACACAGACTGATGCATTCAAATGTTTATTTCATTTAATTTTGATGATTTGAAGTGGCAACAAATGAAAATCCAAAATTCCGTGTGTCACAAAATTAGAATATTGTGTAAGGGTTACATTTTGAAGACACCTGGTGCCACAAAATAATCAGCTGATTAACTCAAAACACCTGCAAAGGGCTTTAAATGGTCTCTCAGTCCAGTTCTGAAGCCTACACAAACATGGGGAAGACTTCAGATTTGACAGCTGTCCAAAAGGCGACCATCGACACATTGCACAAGGAGGGAAAGACACAAAAGGTTATTGCAGAAGAGGCTGGCTGTTCTCAGAGCTCTGTGTCCAAACACATTAATAGAGAGGCAAAGGGAAGGAAAAACTGTGGTCAGAAAAAGTGTACAAGCGATAGGGATCACCGCGCCCTAGTCAAGATTGTGAAAAAAAACCCATTCAAAAATGTGGGGGAGATTCACAAGGAGTGGACAGCTGCTGGAGTCAGGGCTTCAAGATCCACCACCAAGAGACGCTTGAAAGACATGGGTTTCAACTGCCGCATACCTCGTGTCAAGCCACTGTTGACCAAGAAACAGCGCGAAAAGCGTCTCACCTGGGCTAAGGAAAAAAAGAGCTGGACTGCTGCTGAGTGGTCTAAAGTCATGTTTTCTGACGAAAGCAAATTTTGCATTTCCTTTGGAAATCGAGGTCCCAGAGTCTGGAGGAAGACAGGAGAGGCACAGGATCCACGTTGCCTGAAGTCTAGTGTAAAGTTTCCACCATCAGTGATGGTTTGGGGTGCCATGTCATCTGCTGGTGTCGGTCCACTCTGTTTCCTGAGATCAAGGGTCAACGCAGCCGTCTACCAGCAAGTTTTAGAGCACTTCATGCTTCCTGCTGCTGACCTGCTCTATGGAGATGGAGATTTCAGGTTCCAACAGGACTTGGCGCCTGCACACAGCGCAAAATCTACCCGTGCCTGGTTTACGGACCATGGTATTTCTGTTCTAAATTGGCCAGCCAACTCCCCTGACCTTAGCCCCATAGAAAATCTGTGGGGTATTGTGAAAAGGAAGATGCAGAATGCCAGACCCAACAACGCAGAAGAGTTGAAGGCCACTATCAGAGCAACCTGGGCTCTCATAACACCTGAGCAGTGCCAGAAACTCATCGACTCCATGCCACGCCGCATTAATGCAGTAATTGAGGCAAAAGGAGCTCCAACCAAGTATTGAGTATTGTACATGCTCATATTTTTCATTTTCATACTTTTCAGTTGGCCAACATTTCTAAAAAATCCCTTTTTTGTATTAGCCTTAAGTAATATTCTAATTTTGTGACACACGGAATTTTGGATTTTCATTTGTTGCCACTTCAAATCATCAAAATTAAATGAAATAAACATTTGAATGCATCAGTCTGTGTGCAATGAATAAATATAATGTACAAGTTACACCTTTTGAATGCAATTACTGAAATAAATCAAGTTTTTCAAAATATTCTAATTTACTGACTTTTACCTGTAGTACCTAAGTGGACTGTTGGCAGCTCTGCTACTGCCTTGTGTGGCTAGGCTAACAACGCTAGGCTATGCTAACAACTGTGAAGCTAACAAATGTGAAGCTAACAACGCTAGGCTAATGCTAACAACTGTGAAGCTAACAAATGTGAAGCTAACACAACGCTAGCCGTTAGGCTCTGGCTGTAGCGCTCTTCCTCAACTGCAGCTACATAAACATAGAAGTTACATTCACATTTCATTTTCATCCACTCATTTTCATTCGCTTTCAACCAAGTCTTGTCTGACTAACATTTTGTTTGTCTTTTCATCTGTCCATTGGACCTTACAGTAGTATCCTTGTTGGTTCCTGATTTGTTCATCTGTCCATTGGACCTTACAGTAGTATCCTTGTTGGTTCCTGATTTGTTCATCTGTCCATTGGACCTTACAGTAGTATCCTTGATGGTTCCTGATTTGTTCATCTGTCCATTGGACCTTACAGTAGTATCCTTGATAGTTCCTGATTTGTTCATCTGTCCATTGGACCTTACAGTATTATCCTTGATAGTCCCTGATTTGTTCATCTGTCCATTGGACCTTACAGTAGTATCCTTGATAGTTCCTGACTACCCCTTCTTCCTCTCCACGCCCCCTTGTGCTCCTTGTTGACATACCCTGCTCCTAAGGCCCCACCCCCTCTATATTCTGTATGTATATAGGAACTACAGGCCTATATGTAGTCCCTATGGTCCACTGCTCATCTCCTGGACTCACATATCCATGGGATTAACATCTCCTGGACTCACATATCCATGGGATTAACATCTCCTGTACTCACATATCCATGGGATTAACATCTCCTGGACTCACATATCCATGGGATTAGCATCTCCTGGACTCACATATCCATGGGATTAACATCTCCTGGACTCACATATCCATGGGATTAACATCTCCTGGACTCACATATCCATGGGATTAACATCTCCTGGACTCACATATCCATGGGATTAACATCTCCTGGACTCACATATCCATGGGATTAACATCTCCTGGACTCACATATCCATGGGATTAACATCTCCTGGACTCACATATCCATGGGATTAACATCTCCTGGACTCACATATCCATGGGATTAACATCTCCTGTACTCACATATCCATGGGATTAACATCTCCTGGACTCACATATCCATGGGATTAACATCTCCTGGACTCACATATCCATGGGATTAACATCTCCTGGACTCACATATCCATGGGATTAACATCTCCTGTACTCACATATCCATGGGATTAACATCACTGATTTTGACCTGTTGACTTAACTCATTATCAGTCATATCCAGGCCTGCCCTGTATTCCAACTGCTACCTGCTAGGCTAAAAGCTAACAGCTTTGGGGTCAATGCCTGCTAACTAACTGCTACCTGCTAGGCTGAAAGCTAACAGCTTTGGGGTCAATGCCTGCTAACTAACTGCTACCTGCTAGGCTAAAAGCTAACAGCTTTGGGGTCAATGCCTGCTAACTAACTGCTACATGCTAGGCTAAAAGCTAACAGCTTTGAGTAAGTGATTATCTGCAGGTGACATTCAGTATTATATGAGTAGGACTCCTTCCTCCTGTACATGCTGAGTGTCTTCATGTCATGTTGTTGTGTGCCTCCATCTCAGCTCCACTGTGTTGTGGTTATCTCATCCAGGCTCCAGCAACATCCAGCGGGAGCTTCAGACCCCCACAGGGCTGAGCTATCAGCCCCCCACTCCGCTGTGCAGCGACCACTTCTTTGGTGAGGACGCTGGCCTAGACTCCCCCTCTAGAACGCCCACTAGACCATGTGACTTGTCACTCACCCAGACCACCAGCAACCTAGGCCCCGCCCCCAATGCTCAGCCCCCCACCATGGTGGTAGAGGAAGACACCTCTGGACCGCTAGACTCCCGGGGCGCCGGGGAGGGCGCCGGGGAGGGCGCCGGGGAGGGCGCCGGGGGAGGCGGGAGCCCTGAAGGGGCCTCCACTGAAGACGACACAGGGGTTAGCAGAGAGTCAGTGGCCTCACACGAGCCCCATGACAGGGAGGCCGGGGTGAGAGAGGAGGCTGAGCAGGATGTTGACATGGGGATGCTGATACATCAGATTGATCTTCCTCAGGGGGTGGTCAGGGAGGATGAGTGGCTGGCTGTAGCCACAGGAGACCCACCAGAGACCCTCAGCTCTAGACCTGCCCTGGGGGGAGAGGGTCTTAGTACGGGGGGAGAGGGTCTTAGTACGGGGGTAGAGGGTGGTGGGTCTGGTTCTCCCGAGGAGGAGATGAGTGAGGAGACGTTAAAGTCTCTGTTGGAGGAGATGGCGCTGGAGGAAGGCTCGGAGGACGAGGAGATGACGGAGGACAGGATAAACGCCATCTTGTCTCAGGTGCAGCAGGCAGACAAAGATGTGATGTCATCACCTGCAGGTTGGCACAGTGAGACGTCCAGCGTGAACGTGGAGCCCCCGACACCTGGCCGCGGTCTGAGTGCTGAGGGCATCGACTGCCAGGACACCAGGTAGGATCTGATATTATTAATATTATTATTATTAAACATGAATAATGTTATCAGGGGTGGAGCTTAGCTTCCACTCCCGTGGGTCACCCTCCTGTGCGTAAAGTCTTCCTCAGTATGGGCAATCGCTACCTGATTTCCCAATTCCAACATGTACAGAGAATATTGCTTTTTAATATAGCTACATATAGCTACAGATGAAGTCGGAAGTTTACATACACCTTAGCCAAATACATTTAAACTCATTTTTTCACAATTCCTGACATTTAATCCTAGTAAAAATTCCCTGTCTTAGGTCAGTTAGGATCACCACTTTATTTTAAGAATGTGAAATGTCAGAATAATAGTAGAGAGAATGATTTTTTTCAGCTTTTATTTATTTCATCACATTCCCAGTGGGTCAGAAGTTTACATACACTCAATTAGTATTTGGTAGCATTGCCTTTAAATTATTTAACTTCGGTCAAACGTTTCGGGTAGCCTTCCACAAGCTTCCCACAATACGTTGGGTGAATTTTGGCCCATTCCTCCTGACAGAGCTGGTGTAACTGAGTCAGGTTTGTAGGCCTCCTTGTTCGCACACGCTTTTTCAGTTCTGCCCACAAATGTTCTATAGGATTGAGGTCAGGGCTTTGTGATGGCCACTCCAATACCTTGACTTTGTTGTCCTTAAGCCATTTTGCCACAACTTTGGAAGTATGCTTGGGGTCATTGTCCATTTGGAAAACCCATTTGCGACCAAGCTTTAACTTCCTGACTGATGTCTTGAGATGTTGCTTCAATATATCCACATAATTTTCCTTCCTCATGATGCCATCTATTTTGTTAAGTGCACCAGTCCCTTCTGCAGCAAAGCACCCCCACAGCATGATGCTGCCACCCCCGTGCTTCACGGTTGGGATGGTGTTCTTTGGCTTGCAAGCCTTCCCCTTTTTCCTCCAAACATAACGATGGTCATTATGGCCAAACAGTTCTATTTTTGTTTCATCAGACCAGAGGACATTTTTCCAAAAAGTACGATCTTTGTCCCCATGTGCATTTGCAAACCGTAGTCTGGCTTTTTTATGGCGGTTTTGGAGCAGTGGCTTCTTCCTTGCTGAGCGGCCTTTCAGGTTATGTCGATATAGGACTCGTTTTACTGTTTACTTGTTTCCTCCAGCATCTTCACAAGGTCCTTTGCTGTTGTTCTGGAATTGATTCGTGCTTTTTGCACCAAAGTACGCTCATCTTTAGGAGACAGAACGCGTCTCCTTCAAATCAAATCAAATCAAATCAAATCAAATTTTATTGGTCACATGCGCCGAATACAACAGGTGCAGACATTGCAGTGAAATGCTTACTTACAGCCCTTAACCAACAGTGCATTTATTTTAAACAAAAAAAGTAAGAATAAAACAACAACAACAAAAAAGTGTTGAGAAAAAAAGAGCAGAAGTAAAATAAAGTGACAGTAGGGAGGCTATATATACAGTAAAATAAAGTGACAGTAGGGAGGCTATATATACAGGGGGGTACCGTTGCAGAGTCAATGTGCGGGGGCACCGGCTAGTTGAGGTAGTTGAGGTAATATGTACATGTGGGTAGAGTTAAAGTGACTATGCATAAATACTTAACAGAGTAGCAGCAGCGTAAAAAGGATGGGGTGGGGGGGCAGTGCAAATAGTCCGGGTAGCCATGATTAGCTGTTCAGGAGTCTTATGGCTTGGGGGTAGAAGTTGTTGAGAAGTCTTTTGGACCTAGACTTGGCACTCCGGTACCGCTTGCCGTGCGGTAGCAGAGAGAACAGTCTATGACTAGGGTGGCTGGAGTCTTTGACAATTTTGAGGGCCTTCCTCTGACACCGCCTGGTATAGAGGTCCTGGATGGCAGGGAGCTTTGCCCCAGTGATGTACTGGGCCGTACGCACTACCCTCTGTAGTGCCTTGCGGTCAGAGGCCAAGCAGTTGCCATACTTCCTGAGCTGTATGACGGCTGCGTGGTCCCATGGTGTTTATACTTGCGTACTATTGTTTGTACAGATGAACGTGGTACCTTCAGGCGTTTTGAAATTGCTCCCAAGGATGAACCAGACTTGTGGAGGTCTACAATTTTTTTTCTGAGGTCTTAGCTGATTTCTTTTGATTTTCCCATGATGTCAAGCAAAGAGCCACTGAGGTAGGCCTTGAAATACATCCACAGGTAAACCTCCAATTGACTCAAATGATGTCAATTAGCCTATCAGAAGCTTCTAAAGCCATGACATCATTTTCTGGAATTTTCCAAGCTGTTTAAAGGCACAGTCAACTTACTGTATGTAAACTTCTGACACACTGGAATTGTGATACAGTGAATTATAAGTGAAATAATCTGTCTGTAAACAATTGTTGGAAAAATTACTTGTGTCATGCACAAAGTAGACGTCCTAACCGACTTGCCAAAACTATAGTTTGTTAACAAGAAATATGTGGAGTGGTTGAAAAACGAGTTTTAATGATTGTAACCTAAGTGTATATAAACATCCGACTTACATTTTAGTCATTTAGCAGACGCTCTTATCCAGAGCGACTTACAGTTAGTGAGTGCATACATATTTATTTTTTAATTTTTTTCATACTGGCCCCCCGCGGGAATCCAACCCACAACCCTGGCGTTGCAAACGCCATGCTCTACCAACATCCCTGCCTGCCATACCCTCCCCTACCCTGCACGACCAATTGTGCGCCGCCCCATGGGTCTCCCGGTCACGGCCGGCTACGACAGAGCCTGGATTCGAACCAGGATCTCTAGTGGCACAGCCTTAGACCACTGCGCCACTCGGGAGACTTCAACTGTATATAGCATAACCAGAAAAGAATACGCACAGACAAATGATGTGGTGTAGCCTATAAATGGCAAAATTGTATCACAAATAGCGTTGAAAATTGTCTGAAACTACGATGCATTGTATTAAATACCTGTTCATTTGTATCTGCCCTAATTTATTCAAATCAATTTGAAGTAAACCCTATTTATCCATATTCAAGTTAGATTCAGTGGTAACTCCCCTTCCAAGGATTATTTTCCCCTTCCAATGAATCTGTAGAATGTTTAACCTGATTTACTGCATTTCTACACAATTTAAAAGCTCTAAAATGCTATTTGGAGAACAGCAAAAACAAGCAAAAAAATACAGCTGCGAGCAGCAATGAATGGGGTTCACAAGATGACAAAAAGGACACATGATCAGCTGGGTAACAAAGCAAGCCAGCGTGGTTCATCTTAGCGACGTCCATGATGGCGATGACACGTTTCAAGGTGATAGGCTACTGTGGAGTGGATTTACAGGGGTTTAAATGGCCATCTCTTAACCAATCCCTTAGCTTTTTCAAACTCTACTGAACAAAAATATAAACGTGCAACAATCTCAAAGATTTTGCTGTTACATTATTTACAGTTCATATCAGGAAATCATTCAATTTAAATAAGTTCATTAGGCCCTAATCTATGGATTTCACGACTGGGCTCCCAGGCCCACCCAGCCAATCAGAATGAGCTTTTCCCCACAAAAATGCTTTATTACAAACAGAAATACTACTCAGCACCCCGCCCCCTCTGACGATCCCACAGGTGAAGAAGCCGGATGTGGAGGTCCTGGGCTGGCGTGGTTACACGTGGTCTGCGGTTGTGAGGCCGGTTGGACATATTCTCTAAAACGACGTTGGAGGCGGCTTATGGTAGAGAAATTAACATTCAATTCTCTGGCAACACCTCTGGTGGACATTCCTGCAGTTAGTATGCCAACTGCACAATCCCTCAAAACTTGAAACATCTGTGGCATTGTGTTGCGTGACAAAACTGCACATTTTAGAATGGCCTTTTATTGTCCCCAGCAGACGGTGCGCTCGCATAATGGTCATGCTGTTTAATCAGCTTCTTGATATGCCACACCTGTCAGGTGGATGGATTATCTTGGCAATGGATAAAATGCTCACTAACAGGAATGTAAAAAAATGTGGGCACAAAAGTTGAGAGAAATAAGCTTTTTGTGCGTATGGAACATTTCTGGGATTTTTTATTTCAGCTCATGAAACATGGGACCAACACTTTACATGTTGCATGTTTATTTTTGCTCAGAGTTATTTAAGAGATGTCCCATGGGCCTACAGTGTCTTGGCACCGGTTAGTCAAGGTAATTGAGGTAATACAGTGTCTTGCAAATGTATTCATCCTCCTTGGCGTTTTTCCTATTTTGTTGCATTACAACCTGTAATTTAAACAGATTTTTATTTGAATTTCATGTAATGGACATACACAAAATAGTCCAAATTGGTGAAGTGAAATGAAGAAAATTACTTGTTTCAGAAAATTCTAAAAAATAAATAGCGGAAAAGTGGTGCGTGCCTATGTATTCACCCCCTTTGCTATGAAGCCCCTAAATAAGATATGGTGCAACTAATTACCTTCAGAAGTCACATAATTAGTTAAATAAAGTCCACCTGTGTGCAATCTAAGTGTCACATGATCTGTCACATGATCTCAGTATATATACACCTGTTCTGAAAGGCCCCAGAGTCTGCAACACCACTAAGCAAGGGGCACCACCAAGCAAGCGGCACCATGAAGACCAAGGAGCTCTCCAAACAGGTCAGGGTTGTGGAGAAGTACAGATCAGGGTTGGGTTATAAAAAAATATCAGAAACTTTGAACATCCCACGGAGCTCCATTAAATCCATTAAATGGAAAGAATATGCACCACAACAAACCTGCCAAGAGAGGGCCGCCCACCAAAACTCACGGACCAGGCAAGGAGGGCATTAATCAGAGAGGCAACAAAGAGACCAAAGATAACCCTGAAGGAGCTGCAAAGCTCCACAGCGGAGATTGGAGTATCTGTCCATAGGACCACTTTAAGTCGTACACTCCACAGAGCTGGGCTTTACGGAAGAGTGGCCAGAAAAAAGCCATTGCTTAAAGAAAAAAATAAGCAAACAAAAGCCATGTGGGAGACTCCCCAAACATATGGAAGAAGGTACTCTGGTCAGATGAGACTGAAATTGAGCTTTTTGGCCATCAAAATGCTATGTCTGGCGCAAACCCAACACCTCTCATCACCCCGAGAACACCATCCCCACAGTGAAGCACGGTGGTGGCAGCATCATGCTGTGGGGATGTTTTTCATCGGCAGGGACTGGGAAACTGGTCAGAATTGAAGGAATGATGGATGGTGCTAAATACAGGGAAATTCTTGAGGGAAATCTGTTTCAGTCTTCCAGAGATTTGAGACTGGGACGGAGGTTCACCTTCCAGCAGGACAATGACCCTAAGCATACTGCTAAAGCAACACTGGAGTGGTTTAAGGGGAAACATTGAAATGTCTTGGAATGGCCAGGTCAAAGGCCAGACCTCAATCCATTTGAGAATCTGTGGTATGACTTAAAGATTGCTGTACACCAGCGGAACCCATCCAACTTGAAGGAGCTGGAGCAGTTTTGCCTTGAAGAATGGGCAAAAATCGCAGTGGCTAGATGTGCCAAGCTTATAGAGACATACCCCAAGAGACTTGCAGCTGTAATTGCTGCAAAAGGTGGCTCTACAAAATATTGACTTGGGGGGAGAATAGTTATGCACGCTCAAGTTTTCTGTTTTTTTGTCTTATTTCTTGTTTGTTTCAAAATAAAAAAATATGTTGCATCTTCAAAGTGGTAGGCATGTTGTGTAAATCAAATGATACAAACCCCCCAAAAATCAATTTTAATTCCAGGTTGTAAGGCAACAAAATAGGAAAAATGCCAAGGGGGGTGAATACTTTCGCAAGCCACTGTATATACAAACACCTCCCCCATTAGCATTCTTGTCTCTTCTATAGATGTTGTATCCTTGTATTGCTACTGCTGTATCATCAAAGGAATTATCTAAGTGAGTCTCAGAAATGGCTAATATATGAACGTTATATGATGTTAGAAAGTTATTATTTTCATGAACCTTATTTCTAAGGCTTCATATATTAATATGGGCTATTTTTAACCTTTCCTGGGTAGCTTATTAGAGATAGACATAATACTGAAAAAAGCAAACAAAGCAAGAGAATTAAACAAACATTCAGCAGTCCATTAATCAGTTGGTGTGTGTGTGTGTGTGTGTGTGTGTGTGCGTGTGTTCTGCGTGGTTGAAGCTACGAACCCATAGGCTTGGCTCACTCATCCCTTCCAGGCTTCTGGGAGGGAGGGTGGACAATGAGCCTGTCATAGCGGATGTAAGCAATGTCACCACGCACTCTGGCAGCTTTCATAGCTGGGATAAGTTATTTTCTCGTCTGGCGCACAGCTTCAGGATAGTCCTCATTGAGGAAGATGTACGTTCCTCTCAAGTTCTTGGCTCTTTCCAGAACAGCTACCTTGTCCTTTAACCTAAGATCACCATGCGCAATGCCAAGTGTCAGATGGAGGGGTGTAAAGCTCGCCGCCATTGGACTCTGGAGCAGTGGAAATGCGTTCTCTGGAGTGATGAATCACGCTTCACCATATGGCAGTCTGACGGACAAATCTGGGTTTGGTGGATGCCAGGAGAACGCTACCTGCCCCAATGCATAGTGCCAACTGTAAAGTTTGGTGGAGGAGGAATAATGGTCTGGGGCTGTTTTTCATGGTCAGGCTAGGCCCCTTAGTTGCAGTGAATGGAAATCGTAATGCTACAACATACAATTACATTCTAGACGATTCTGTGCTTCCAACTTTGTGGCAACAGTTTGGGGAAGGCCCTTTCCTGTTTCAGTATGACAAAGCGAGGTCCATACAGAAATTGATTGTCGAGATGGGTGTGGAAGAACTGTTGTAGAAAATTGTCTTTGTCCTCAGTCAAATACAAAGTACTTTCAGAGTTTTTGTAGAATTAAGATAGACTTTATTACAGATAATAGAGCCGAGGTGGTCTGCAGAGCATCTAACTTTCCACCTCTCAGCTCTCAGTTTATATTGTCACTTTACATACATTTTAGCTCAATCCCTCCCTCTTTGGTTCCTCCACCACTGTCTCCAGTTTTCACCTCTTGACCGCTCCGCCCACTTCCTTAATGGCGGTATCTGACTTCTCTCCCTTATAGTTCCGTGTCTGGAAACAATAGTGGTGGGACCAAGCCCTGTCATGCAAAAATAACAGAGCCCTTTCCTGGCTCCGTTCTGACCCCCTAATTGATTTCCTTAACCTATCAATCGATACTTAAACATGGCTTAAAACATGGCAGGTCCATAATCAATTTCTTAAACATATACCAGCCTCCTCCCTCTGTACCACTCACTCCAAACGCCCCTCATGCTGTGATCAACCATGTTTAGTCTGAACTCTGTTCAACCCTGGCTCTGTTCCAGGACTATGCCTGAGGAGAGAGGCAAAGGGCAACAGTCTGGTTTCAGTCACTGATAAGGCAGGACAGCCGTGGATTAGGGAGGAGTGAGGAATTTGACCCGAAGACAGGTCAGATGAAAAGAGAATCAACAGTCCTATTTCTCCCATATACCAGGCAGGGCAATGACTACACCAGGGTGAGGAACCAATTAAGTTCTTGCCTAGCAACAGAGATGTACCCATGTTTAACCCTGGCTCTGTGTTCGTCATGTTGTGATTAACTATGTTTATCTTATAGTCTACTGAGTCTGAAGAGATGTAACTATAGTCTACTTGTCACGCCCTGACTCAGGGGTACTCTTATACAGTGGGGGAAAAAAGTATTTAGTCAGCCACCAATTGTGCATGTTCTCCCACTTAAAAAGATGAGAGAGGCCTGTAATTTTCATCATAGGTACACGTCAACTATGACAGACGAAATGAGGAAAAAAATCCAGAAAATCACATTGTAGAATTTTTTATGAATTTATTTGCAAATTATGGTGGAAAATAAGTATTTGGTCAATAACAAAAGTTACTCAATACTTTGTTATATACCCTTTGTTGGCAATGACACAGGTCAAACGTTTTCTGTAAGTCTTCACAAGGTTTTCACACACTGTTGCTGGTATTGTGGCCCATTCCTCCATGCAGATCTCCTCTAGAGCAGTGATGTTTTGGGGCTGTCGCTGGGCAACACGGACTTTCAACTCCCTCCAAAGATTTTCTATGGGGTTGAGATCTGGAGACTGGCTAGGCCACTCCAGGACCTTGAAATGCTTCTTACGAAGCCACTCCTTCGTTGCCCGGGCGGTGTGTTTGGGATCATTGTCATGCTGAAAGACCCAGCCACGTTTCATCTTCAATGCCCTTGCTGATGGAAGGAGGTTTTCACTCAAAATCTCACGATACATGGCCCCATTCATTCTTTCCTTTACACGGATCAGTCGTCCTGGTCCCTTTGCAGAAAAACAGCCCCAAAGCATGATGTTTCCACCCCCATGCTTCACAGTAGGTATGGTGTTCTTTGGATGCAACTCAGCATTCTTTGTCCTCCAAACACGACGAGTTGAGTTTTTACCAAAAAGTTCTATTTTGGTTTCATCTGACCATATCACATTCTCCCAATCCTCTTCTGGATCATCCAAATGCACTCTAGCAATCTTCAGACGGGCCTGGACATGTACTGGCTTAAGCAGGGGGACACGTCTGGCACTGCAGGATTTGAGTCCCTGGCGGCATAGTGTGTTACTGATGGTAGGCTTTGTTACTTTGGTCCCAGCTCTCTGCAGGTCATTCACTAGGTCCCCCTGTGTGGTTCTGGGATTTTTGCTCATCGTTCTTGTGATCATTTTGACCCCACGGGGTGAGATCTTGCGTGGAGCCCCAGATCGAGGGAGATTATCAGTGGTCTTGTATGTCTTCCATTTCCTAATAATTGCTCCCACAGTTGATTTCTTCAAACCAAGCTGCTTACCTATTGCAGATTCAGTCTTCCCAGCCTGGTGCAGGTCTACAATTTTGTTTCTGGTGTCCTTTGACAGCTCTTTGGTCTTGGCCATAGTGGAGTTTGGAGTGTGACTGTTTGAGGTTGTGGACAGGTGTCTTTTATACTGATAACAAGTTCAAACAGGTGCCATTAATACAGGTAACGAGTGGAGGACAGAGGAGCCTCTTAAAGAAGAAGTCACAGGTCTGTGAGAGCCAGAAATCTTGCTTGTTTGTAGGTGACCAAATACTTATTTTCCACCATAATTTGCAAATAAATTCCTTAAAAATCCTACAATGTGATTTTCTGGATTTTTTTTCCTCAATTTGTCTGTCATAGTTGACGTGTACCTATGATGAAAAGTACAGGCCTCTCTCATATTTTTAAGTGGGAGAACTTGCACAATTGGTGGCTGACTAAATACTTTTTTTCCCCACTGTATGTTGAGTCAGGGTGTGAATGTTCTATGTTGTTGTATCCAGTATGTGTATTTCTATGTTGGCCGGTGTGGTTCCCAATCAGAGGCAGCTGTCGCTTAGGCAGCCTATTGGCACTGTCTAGTTGTGGGATCTTGTTCCGTGTAAGGTATGTTGTGTGTTCTACCTTGGACTTCGTTTCGTTTGTTGTTTTGTCATTGTGTTGATAAGTTAATAAACATGTACGCATATCACGCTGCGCCTTGGTCTGACCCGTCATTAAACGAAAGTGACACTACTGGAAAATCCCAATCAGAACTTGACTGGCCTGCACAGAGCCCTGACCTCGACCCCATCGAACACCTTTGGGATTAATTTGAACGCCGACTGCGAGCCAGGCCTAATTGCCCAACATCAGTGCCCAACCTCACTAATGCTCTTGTGGCTGAATGGAAGCAAGTCCCTGTGGCAATGTTCCAACATCTAGTGGAAAGCCTTCCCAGAAGAGTGGAGGCTGTTATAGCAGCAAAGGGGGGACCAACTTCATATTAATGCCCATGATTTTGGATGTTCGACGAGCAGGTGACCACATACGTTTGGTCATGTAGTGTATTTCCACATTGCGTGGACAATGTTTTTCTAATTCTAATTGTAATCTCCCCCCGCCCTCCCTCTCCCACCCTCCCCCTCCTCCTCTCCTCCCCTTCCTCTCTCCTCCCCTTGTCTCCCCTCCTCCCCCAGCCCTGTGAACTCCCTGGACTCCCTGACGACGTCACCTGACCGACCAGCAGGGAAATACAATGGAGACCACGCTGACTTCCTGTCCCAGCCTGGGTCACTTCCTGAGGCCCAGGGTTCGTCCAACGGGGAGATGGGTCATGGCCAGGTGGAGGACGAGGGAAGAGCGTCAGCGTCACAAGGAGGGCAGGAGGTGGGAAGCAGAAGGGCTCTGGAAGAGGACAGCACAGCAGGACCAAGCAGCAAGGAGGAGCAGGAGGAGGAGGGAGGAGTTCAGGGGTCACAGCACAAAGTCCAGGTAACTCTACACATCAGGACTCTGTGGTATTATTATGGAGATGGATTTTCTTCTGTTCTCTTCTCACTCACAAGGTTTCTGTGTTCTGAGAAAGACCAATGTACTCTGATATCTAGCTGGTGAAGACCAAGTTCAATGGATGAAGGTGTAAAACAAATGCATGTTCTTCAGTTCTTCACATTTAACCCTTTAACCTTTAACCCAGACAGTGGATTTCTTTAAGACAAACCTATACTTTACATTTACATTTACGTCATTTAGCAGACGCTCTTATCCAGAGGGACTTACAAATAGGTGCATTCACCTTATAGCCAGTGGGATCACCACTTTACAATGTTTTTTTGGGGGGTTGGGGTTTGGGTTGGGGTAAGGGGGGGGTAGAAGGATTACTTTATCCTATCCCAGGTATTCCTTAAAGAGGTGGGGTTTCAAATGTCTCCGGAAGGTGGTGAGTGACTCCGCTGTCCTGGCGTCGTGAGGGAACTTGTTCCACCATTGGGGTGCCAGAGCAGCGAACAGTTTTGACTGGGCTGAGCGGGAACTATGCTTCCGCAGAGGTAGGGGAGCCAGCAGGCCAGAGGTGGATGAACGCAATGCCCTCGTTTGGGTGTAGGGACTGATCAGAGCCTGAAGGTACGGAGGTGCCGTTCCCCTCACAGCTCTGTAGGCAAGCACCATGGTCTTGTAGCAGATGCGAGCTTCAACTGGAAGCCAGTGGAGTGTGCGGAGGAGCGGGGTGACGTGAGAGAACTTGGGAAGGTTGAACACCAGACGGGCTGCGGCATTCTGGATGAGTTGTAGGGGTTTAATGGCACAGGCAGGGAGACCAGCCAACAGCGAGTTGCAGTAATCCAGACGGGAGATGACAAGTGCCTGGATTAGGACCTGTGCCGCTTCCTATGTAAGGCAGGGTCGTACTCTCCGAATGTTGTAGAGCATGAACCTACAGGATCGGGTCACCGCCTTGATGTTAGCGGAGAACGACAGGGTGTTGTCCAGGGTCACGCCAAGGCTCTTCGCACTCTGGGAGGAGGACACAACGGAGTTGTCAACCGTGATGGCGAGATCATGGAACAGGCAGTCCTTCCCCGGGAGGAAGAGCAGCTCCGTCTTGCCAAGGTTCAGCTTGAGGTGGTGATCCGTCATCCATACTGATATGTCTGCCAGACATGCAGAGATGCGATTCGCCACCTGGTTATCAGAAGGGGGAAAGGAGAAGATTAGTTGTGTGTCGTCAGCGTAGCAATGATAGGAGAGGCCATGTGAGGATATGACAGAGCCAAGTGACTTGGTGTATAGGGAGAATAGGAGAGGGCCTAGAACTGAGCCCTGGGGGACACCAGTGGTGAGAGCACGTGGTGCGGAGACAGCTTCTCGCCACGCCACTTGGTAGGAGCGACCGGTCAGGTAGGACGCAATCCAAGAGTGAGCCGCGCCGGAGATGCCCAGCTCGGAGAGGGTGGAGAGGAGGATCTGATGGTTCACAGTATCAAAGGCAGCAGACAGGTCTAGAAGGACAAGAGCAGAGGAGAGAGAGTTAGCTTTAGCAGTGCGGAGAGCCTCCGTGACACAGAGAAGAGCAGTCTCAGTTGAATGACCAGTCTTGAAACCTGAATGGTTTGGATCAAGAAGGTCATTCTGAAAGAGATAGCAAGAGAGTTGGCTAAAGACGGCACGCTCAATAGTTTTGGAGAGAAAAGAAAGAAGGGATACTGGTCTGTAGTTGTTGACATCAGAGGGATCGAGTGTTGGTTTTTTGAGAAGGGGTGCAACTCTCGCTCTCTTGAAGACGGAAGGGACATAGCCAGCGGTCAAGGATGAGTTGATCAGCGAGGTGAGGTAAGGGAGAAGGTCACCGGAGATGGTCTGGAGAAGAGAGGAGGGGATAGGGTCAAGCGGGCAGGTTGTTGGGCGGCAAGATTTTATCTGGAGAGAGAGGGGAGAAAGAAGTCAAAGCATAGGGTAGGGCAGTGTGAGCAGGACCAGCAGTGTCATTTGACTTAACAAACGAGGATCGGATGTCGTCAACCTTCTTTTCAAAATGGTTGACGAAGTCATCCACAGAGAGGGAGGAGGAGGGGGGGGGATTCAGCAGGGAGGAGAATGTGGCAAAGAGCTTCCTAGGGTTAGAGGCAGATGCTTGGACTTTAGAGTGGTAGAAAGTTAACCCTACCTGGTTGTTACCCTAACCCTACCTGGTTCATCAGGACATAGGTGTTACCCTAACCCTACCTGGTTCATCAGGACATAGTGGTTACCCTAACCCTACCTGGTTCATCAGGACATAGTTGTTACCCTAACCCTACCTGGTTCATCGGACATAGTTGTTACCCTAACCCTACCTGGTTCATCAGGACATAGTTGTTACCCTAACCCTACACTGGTTCATCAGGACATAGTTGTTACCCTACCTGGTTCATCAGGACATAGTTGTTACCCTACCTGGGTTCATAGGACATAGTTGTTACCCTACCTGGTTCATCAGGACATAGTTGTTACCCTAACCCTACCTGGTTCATCAGGACATAGTTGTTACCCTAACCCTACCTGGTTCATCAGGACATAGTTGTTACCCTACCTGGTTCATCAGGACATAGTTGTTACCCTACCTGGGTCATCAGGACATAGTTGTTACCCTACCTGGTTCATCAGGACATAGTTGTTACCCTAACCCTACCTGGTTCATCAGGACATAGTTGTTACCCTACCTGGTTCATCAGGACATAGTTGTTACCCTACCTGGTTCATCAGGACATAGTTGTTACCCTACCTGGTTCATCAGGACATAGTTGTTACCCTACCTGGTTCATCAGGACATAGTTGTTACCCTACCTACCTGGTTCATCAGGACATAGTTGTTACCCTAACCCTACCTGGTTCATCAGGACATAGTCCTAACCCTACCTGGTTCATCAGGACATAGTTGTTACCCTACCCTACTGGTTCATCAGGACATAGTTGTTACCCTAACCTACCTGGTTCATCAGGACATAGTTGTTACCTACCCTACCTGGTTCATCAGGACATATACCTAACCCTACCTGGTTCATCAGGACATAGTTGTTACCCTACCCCTACTGGTTCATCAGGACATAGTTGTTACCCTAACCCTACCTGGTTCATCAGGACATAGTTGTCTACCACCTAAACCCTACCTGGTTCATCAGGACATAGTTGTTACCCTACCTGGTTCATCAGGACATAGTTGTTACCCTACCCTACCTGGTTCATCAGGACATAGTGGTTACCCCTACCTGGTTCATCAGGACATAGTTGTTACCCTAACCCTACCTGGTTCATCAGGACATAGTTGTTACCCTACCCCTACCTGGTTCATCAGGACATAGTTGTTACCCTAACCCTACCTGGTTCATCAGGACATAGTTGTTACCCTAACCCTACCTGGTTCATCAGGACATAGTTGTTACCCTACCTGGTTCATCAGGACATAGTGGTTACCCTAACCCTACCTGGTTCATCAGGACATAGTTGTTACCCTACCTGGTTCATCAGGACATAGTTGTTACCCTAACCCTACCTGGTTCATCAGGACATAGTTGTTACCCTAACCCTACCTGGTTCATCAGGACATAGCTGTTACCCTAACCCTACCTGGTTCATCAGGACATAGTTGTTACCCTACCTGGTTCATCAGGACATAGTTGTTACCCTAACCCTACCTGGTTCATCAGGACATAGTTGTTACCCTAACCCTACCTGGTTCATCAGGACATAGTTGTTACTCTAACCCTACCTGGTTCATCAGGACATAGTTGTTACCCTAACCCTACCTGGTTCATCAGGACATAGTGGTTACCCTACCTGGTTCATCAGGACATAGTGGTTACCCTACCTGGTTCATCAGGACATAGTTGTTACCCTACCCCTACCTGGTTCATCAGGACATAGTTGTTACCCTAACCCTACCTGGTTCATCAGGACATAGTTGTTACCCTAACCCTACCTGGTTCATCAGGACATAGTTGTTACCCTAACCCTACCTGGTTCATCAGGACATAGTTGTTACCCTACCTGGTTCATCAGGACATAGTTGTTACTCTAACCCTACCTGGTTCATCAGGACATAGTGGTTACCCTACCTGGTTCATCAGGACATAGTTGTTACCCTAACCCTACCTGGTTCATCAGGACATAGTTGTTACCCTAACCCTACCTGGTTCATCAGGACATAGTTGTTACCCTACCCCTACCTGGTTCATCAGGACATAGTTGTTACCCTAACCCTACCTGGTTCATCAGGACATAGTTGTTACCCTAACCCTACCTGGTTCATCAGGACATAGTTGTTACCCTACCTGGTTCATCAGGACATAGTTGTTACCCTACCTGGTTCATCGGGACATAGTTGTTACCCTAACCCTACCTGGTTCATCAGGACATAGTTGTTACCCTAACCCTACCTGGTTCATCAGGACATAGTGGTTACCCTACCTGGTTCATCAGGACATAGTTGTTACCCTAACCCTACCTGGTTCATCAGGACATAGTGGTTACCCTAACCCTACCTGGTTCATCAGGACATAGTTGTTACCCTAACCCTACCTGGTTCATCAGGACATAGTTGTTACCCTAACCCTACCTGGTTCATCAGGACATAGTTGTTACCCTAACCCTACCTGGTTCATCAGGACATAGTTGTTACCCTACCTGGTTCATCAGGACATAGTTGTTACCCTACCCCTACCTGGTTCATCAGGACATAGTTGTTACCCTACCTGGTTCATTAGGACATAGTTGTTACCCTAACCCTACCTGGTTCATCAGGACATAGTTGTTACCCTAACCCTACCTGGTTCATCAGGACATAGTTGTTACCCTAACCCTACCTGGTTCATCAGGACATAGTGGTTACCCTAACCCTACCTGGTTCATCAGGACATAGTTGTTACCCTACCTGGTTCATCAGGACATAGTGGTTACCCTAACCCTACCTGGTTCATCAGGACATAGTTGTTACCCTACCCCTACCTGGTTCATCAGGACATAGTTGTTACCCTAACCCTACCTGGTTCATCAGGACATAGTTGTTACCCTACCCCTACCTGGTTCATCAGGACATAGTTGTTACCCTAACCCTACCTGGTTCATCAGGACATAGTTGTTACCCTACCTGGTTCATCAGGACATAGTTGTTACCCTACCTGGTTCATCAGGACATAGTTGTTACCCTAACCCTACCTGGTTCATCAGGACATAGTTGTTACCCTAACCCTACCTGGTTCATCAGGACATAGTTGTTACCCTAACCCTACCTGGTTCATCAGGACATAGCTGTTACCCTACCTGGTTCATCAGGACATAGTTGTTACCCTAACCCTACCTGGTTCATCAGGACATAGCTGTTACCCTAACCCTACCTGGTTCATTAGGAGGGTGGTAGAGATAAGGAGACCAGCTCTGATGAGGAACGGACTGTCACCACCAAGGTGTACCGACGGAGGTTCATTCTGAAGGTACCTGGCCTGCTTGTGGCACTGAGTGGTGTGTTGCCCCAGTGGGGCCTGTGCTGTTATCAATGTGCTGTCTGTCTGTCTGTCTGTCTGTCTGTCTGTCTGTCTGTCTGTCTGTCTGTCTGTCTGTCTGTCTCTCTCTCTCTCTCTCTCTCTCTCTCTGTCTGTCTGTCTGTCTGTCTGTCTGTCTGTCTGTCTGTCTGTCTGTCTGTCTGTCTGTCTGTCTGTCTGTCTGTCTGTCTGTCTGTCTGTCTGTGTGGCCTGGGCATGTCTGTGTCTGTGGCCTGGGCATGATGTGAGAGACAGGCTCTACAGGAACCCAGAGCTCTGCTGCCTTTCTGCTTGACCAGCTGCTCCCAACTAACTGTAGATACTTTACTGGCTGACTGCTTTGGGTTGATCTGTTCTAGAGTACTTCTAGTGTCCATGTGATAATAGCTAGTGAATGAGAGGAGCACTCACCATGTGATAATAGCTAGTGAATGAGAGTAGCACTCACCATGTGATAATAGCTAGTGAATGAGAGTAGCACTCACCATGTGATAATAGCTAGTGAATGAGAGTAGCACTCACCATGTGATAATAGCTAGTGAATGAGAGTAGCACTCACCATGTGATAATAGCTAGTGAATGAGAGTAGCACTCACCATGTGATAATAGCTAGTGAATGAGAGGAGCACTCACCATGTGATAATAGCTAGTGATTGAGAGGAGCACTCACCATGTGATAATAGCTAGTGAATGAGAGTAGCACTCACCATGTGATAATAGCTAGTGAATGAGAGTAGCACTCACCATGTGATAATAGCTAGTGAATGAGAGTAGCACTCACCATGTGATAATAGCTAGTGAATGAGAGTAGCACTCACCATGTGATAATAGCTAGTGAATGAGAGTAGCACTCACCATGTGATAATAGCTAGTGAATGAGAGTAGCACTCACCATGTGATAATAGCTAGTGAATGAGAGGAGCCATGACAGTAGGCCGCACCACTCACCAGCTCTGTAGAGTTTGACATGTTTTACATCCATATACTCCTTAGCCTCTCTTTATTTTAACAGGAAATATTTGACAGGTTTCATATCACAGCAGGAATTCACACTCACATTGTTCCAGATCATTCTATCATCACATCAGTCTAATACACAGTACCAGTCATAAGTTTGGACAGACCTACCCATTCAAGGGTTTTTCTTTATTTTCACTATTTTCTACATTGTAGAATAATAGTGAAGATATCAAAACTATAAAACACACATGAAATGAGAACAAAATTTTAATAGATAAAGTAGATCTTAATACACATGAATATTTAACAAATCACTAATTTTAGAATTTTTCAAAGTCCACTTCTGAGCCTTGATGACGCTTTCTCCTCTTGATTCTTCTCACCAGCTAAC